CAGATAATTTTGTATTTTTAGTAGAGACGGGGTTTCTCCATGTTGAGGCTGGTCTCGAACTCCTGACTTCAGGTAATCCGCCTACCTCGGCCTCCTAAAGTGCTGGGATTACAGGCGTAAGCCACTGCACCCGGCCTCTTTTATTAAATCTTTACCTTTTTTTTTTTTCCCCCAAGACAGAGTCTTGCTCTGTCACCCAGGCTGGAGTGCAGTGGAACAATCTCAGCTCACTGCAACCTCCGCCTCCCAGGTTCAAGCAATTCTCCTGCCTCAGCCTCCTGAGTAGCTGGGACTACAGGTGCCTGCCACCACACCCGGCTAATTGTTGAATTTTTAATAGAGGCGGAGTTTCATTATGTTGGCCAGGTTGGTCTTGAACTCCTGACCTCGTGATCCACCCGCCTCGGCCTCCCAAAGTGCTGGGATTACATGTGTGAACCACCTAGCCCAGCCATATTTTTTAAATTATAAAAGTAACATAGTCCTGAGGCCGACACAGGCAGATCACTTGAGGTCAGGAGTTCGAGACCAGCCTGGCCAACATAGTGAAACCCCATCTCTACTGAAAATATGAAAAGTTAGCCGGGCATGGTGGCATGTGCCTGTAGTCCCAGCTACTTGGGAAACTAAAGCAGGAGAATCACTTGAGCTCAGGAGGCAGAGGTTGCAGTGAGCCAAGATTGCGCTACTGCACTACAGCCTGGGCTACAGAGAGAGACTCTGTCTAAAAAAAAAAAGCCAGATGTGGTGGCTCACACCTGTAATCCCAGCACTTTAGGCTGAGGCGGGTGGATCACAACTAGGCCTTGCAACTAGGAAAAGCTCAGTATATACTCCAATTCCAACAATAACGACCACCATTTAGTTATTTGGTAGTCTTCCAGGCAGAAGGAGATTTGCATGCATTATCAGTGAATTCTCCAATGGCCCCATGAAGTAGGTAGCATTGTCAACTCATTTTGATCCAATTTCAAGAACCAGAGGGAGGTCTACCACCACCACCACCACCACCACCACCACCACCACCACCAGCACCACCACCAGCACCACAATGTACCACTTGTGGGATAACTTGTTGCTTTTTAATCTTTTATTTTTATTTGTTTTTGAGACAGGGTCTTGCTCTGTTGCCTAGGCTCACTGCAACCTCTGCCTCCCAGGGCTCAGGAGATCCTTCCACCTCAGCCACTCAAGTAGCTGGGACCACTGGCACACCACCATGCCTGGCTAATTTTTGTAGTTTTTGTAAAGATGGGGTTTCATCATGTTACCCGGGCTGGTCTTGAACTCCTGGGCTCAAGCAATCTGCCTGCCTTGGCCTTTCAAAGTGTTGGGATAACAGCCGTGAGCCACTGTGCCCAGTCAAATTTGTCTTTTAGAGTCGGATGCTGGAGCATCCTCTCCTAGGCTGGGAGGTTGCTAATGTAAATGCCAACACACTTTATTTGCTGAAGCGGTTTACAAAAAAAGGAATTTCGGGCTGAAAATGGACTCTTAACAAGGTACTTCAAGATACACAATTTCCATTTAAAGGCAAAATATGATGAGTATGATCTATGGAAGAGAAACACACCTTGTGTCACTCCAATAGCCTTTGGAGCAAGAAGTGGGTTCAATTTCCCAGGGGCTGGGGGCTTTGTCTCCAACTCACCTGCTTTCTTGCTGAAACCACAAGGAGATGAAGATGCATCCTCGTCTGGCTTCTTTCTACTTCTGGGGTGGGAGAGACAGCTCTGGGAAGGGTTTCAGATGCGGAGGGAGCAGTTCCCATCTGGCTTCATCAATTTTTGGATGTACCTGTAGGCAAATGACTTCCACTCTGTAGGCCCGTTTTTCCATAAACTGAGGATAATGCCAACAAGGCAGTAAATAGAAGGATCCCAAGGTAGTCCAAAGAGTCCAAGAAAGTTAGAAGGAAAAGGACTCTCCTCTGCCTCTTTTTTTTTTGAGATGGAGTCTCACTCTGGTTACCCAGGCTGGAGTGCAGTGGTGCGATCTTGGCTCACAGCAACCTCCAACTCCCGGGTTCAAGTGATTCCCCTGCCTCAGCCTCCCGGGGAGCTGGGATTACAGGTGCCCGCCATCACGCCCGGCTAATTTTTGTATTTTTAGTTGAGATGGCGTTTCACCATGTGAGCCAGGCTGGTCTTGAGCTTCTGACCTCAAGTGATCCACCCGCCTCGGCCTCCCAGAGTGCTGGGATTACAGGCGTGAGCCACCGTGCCCGACCCTCTCACCTCTTTTGAGATATGCATCACAGACCGCAATGCCCAGTTTGGAGGATTCCGGGGGTTTCCTTACGTAAAGCACATAGAAGGAATGTGATAAACATAACCTGGTTTTAGGCGGCAAGGATGCGTGGGTGGGTGGTGTTTCCTGGGTGGGGCTCACTTTGTGTGCTATCAGTGGAGCTCTCCTTTAGAAAGGGCTTCTTTACCACAAAGTGAATCCCCCTAAGTTCCGAGTCATCCTCCGTGCTGCCTTTGGAGCCTCTCCCAAACATCTTGCCAAGAGGGGCTTCCCCAGGCATAAACACAAACAAGCATGCGGATCCTCCCCAGCAAAACCACCTCCACTGTGGGTGTGATCTGGGGTCACACCCAACTGGGAGATGGTTACTCTGAGGAGGAAATCAGGGGAAAAGCAGTCAATTACAGGAATATTGTCCTAGGGCCCTGAAGAAATAAGTATCGGATGAGTTTTATGAACACATACATTGTTAGGGTGGTGTGGATGTTGTCTCCAAAAAGCATGTGTGCGATGTGATTGTAACTAGCAAAGCGTGAGCCCACTCAGTTGCATCACATTCTTATTTTCATGGTTTCTAAACTTGGCCATCAGAATTCCCAGGGAATCTCAGAAACATACAGATTGCTGGGGTCCATTCCACCCCATTCATGGCTGGAACCCAAAGAGAATTTGTTAGCTATCTTCAACCTTGCCAGGGAACAGTGTCTTGAACCATGACCCTCAGTGATTTGTTTTGAAAACATTTTACAGAGAGGGCTAAATTATAGCTTGGTAACACTATTAGAAGCATTCTGCGGCTGGGCACGGTGGCTCACGCCTGTAATCCCAGCACTTTGGGAGGCCAGGGCGGGTGGATTACCTGAGGTCAGGAGTTTGAGAACAGCCTGACCAACATGGAGAAACCCTATCTCTCCTAAAAATACAAAATTAGCCAGGCGTGGTGGCACATGCCTGTAGTCCCAGTTACTCGGGAGGCTGAGGCAGGAGAATCGCTTGAACCCAGGAGGCGGAGGTTGTGGTGAGCCGAGATCATGTCACTGCACTCCAGTCTGGGCAACAAGAGCTAAACTCCACCTCAAAAGAAAAAAAAAAAAGAAGCATCCCGCTAAACTTTTAATATTCAATAAGCAATTCTTAATGAAAATTTGGCACCCCATATAGATTTACCTAGAAGGGGCTGGGCACAGTGGCTCATGCCTATAATCTCAACACTTTGGGAGGCTGAGGCAGGAGGATCAACAGAAACCAGGAGTTCAAGACCAGCCTGGACAACATAGTGAGACCCCATCTCTTAAATAAATAAATAAATGAATACATACATACATACATACATTTAGCTGGGTGCAGCAGTGTGTGGCTCTGGTCCAAGCTACTTGGGAGGCTGAAGCAGGCTTGCTTGAGCCCAGATCAACACTTCAGTGAGCCATGACTGCCACTGCACTCCAGCCTGGTGACAGAGGGGGACCCTGTCTCAAAAAAAGAAAGACTTACCTAGCAGGACTAAATGTGCTAATTAGCATGTGAGTAATCTGGTCCCCTTGACAATTGTAATTCTTTTGGTAAAGTAATAAACTTACATTCTGGTTTATTCATCAGTCGTTTGAGTCCAGTTGAGAAAGCAAGTCCAGATGAACTGAACAAAATACTTCCTGGCTCTGCAGGCACTGGAATTTAGGGGTCACACCCAGGTACTTGCGGCAGTCAGTGCTCACCAAATACATGTGCCCCATACATTTCCCAGTCTCCCTGGCTGTTGCGTTCAGACCCTGTGACTGGGCCTCGCCCACTGGAAAGCGAGTAGAAATGATGTATTGCATCCAGACAGAGGAGACTGAGTGAATGCGAGTCCTCCTTGGCTACACAGTTGAAAGCAAAGAACTCTAAGGTGGCAGAATTTTAAGATGGAAGTTGAGGTGGCTCACACCTGTAATCCCAGCACTTTGGGAGGCCAACGTGGGAGGATCACTTGAAGACAGGAGTTAAAGACCAGTCTGGAGAGCAAAGTGAGACTTCATCTCTATTATACATTTTAAAAATTAGCAGGGCAAGGTGGTGCACACCTGTAGCCCCAGCTACTGGGGAGGTTGAGGTGGGAGGATCGCTTGAGGTGGGAGGATTGCATTAGCCCAGGAAGTCAAGGCTGCAGTGAGCCTGATGGCACCACTGAACGCCAGCCTGAGTAACAGAGCAAACTGTCTCAAAAAAAAAAAAAAAAAAAAAAAAAAAAAGGAAGCACCTCTGCTTCCTGAGTGTCCAAGGGAGGAGAGCCACCAAAAGCTGCCTGGTGTGCAGTGGCCTGGAACATGAGCATGTACCTTGGAAATCAGCAGTACTCAGCCTCCAGAGTCCTCCTCTCCCAACAGGGCTGGGGGGAGCAGGTTAGATGTTCTCTAGTGCATACCTCTGGCTTTACTTTTTCTACTTGTATGGGAAGAGAACCCACCCAAAGTCCAAACCCTTTCCTGGTGGATAACTTTTTTTTTTTGGTACACAAAGGACCACCCACAAGTGGGCCTGCTCTTGCTTACTGACAAAACTAGAAAGAAAACAGACTAGTCCTGGGAGGAGCTAACATTTCTTCCCGTGCTCCTTTCTTTGGTGTAACTTGTCCAGGTTTTCTAGCAAATAACTTAGCACATAATAGATGCTCAATAAAGACTGTCCATGTCAATGACGACGATGATGATGTATCAGACTGTCTTGGCAAGGGTTGAGGAAGCAGTTTCCTTTTTTATAAACTCAGTCATCAGGAATTTATAAAGAAAAAGTTTATTTTCATCACAAGAAGCACACACACTATATACAATACACACCAACAGAAGTAAAAAAAAAAGTGCATTCTGCATCTTCTACTGCAAATTCACAGTACAAAAGATACTGCCTTTAAATATATTATTAAAAAAACAAGAAAAACAATATAATAAAAATAATCATCAATATCGTAACGCAATTCACGGGAACCCACTGGCAGCTTCTGGAAAACCAAACAACTCCTGGTGTGGAGCTCCTGATTGGGGGAGGGACGGGGATTGGTCTGTACCTACATTTTGTTGCAAAAGAGCTCAGGACACTAACAGAGAGGAAAACAAGGGTGGCCTAGGTGGTAATAAAATGTCTATGAAAGAAAAGTATGATTGTGTGACTGGGGAATGGGCAGGTGCTGGACTCTGGTGCAGAGGCCGCCTGGCCTGCATTACCCCACAGCTGGATAGCAGACCAAGCTACGTTCTTTCATTGGCTCCTATGGGACGCAGCGTCGGCCAATGCCTGCCTGGCCTGCAGGAACTACCAGTGTTGTTTCTAGCAAGGCTCCTTGGAATAGATAGGAACACACAACGTAAAACTGCATAGCAGAATAAACACGTATGGAGTAGGACAAGCTCACATCCCAATACCGACCACTACTGACAAGATCAAGTATCCAATCACAACAGATGAGAGTTGAACAGTTTTGCATAAATACATAGTATTTGTAAACTATTATTAAGGCACTCAATTGGAAAACAATAATTACAGTGTAGGAAAAGAGGGAGGAAGCAGCTATCTTCTCATGCAGCAAGGCCGACAGGAAGGACAGTGGGGGACTGGTGATCTGCTTGTCGGGACTCCTGTCTGAGACAGTGACTGAAGCCAGGGCCCCAGCACCTATGGCCAAACAAGAAGATGCAGTCTCTCCAGAACCACCCAGGGCGGCTCTGGTCACAGTTTCATTCCAGATCATTAAGGTGATTTGCTCTGTGGCTCAGGTGACGTAATGTGTCTGGATGCACATGATCATTTGACTTGGTTTCTATACTCAAATATACAGATGCAGAGTGAACTCACACACACAGGCATTCCATTGCAGAGCAGACAATGACAAAACAAGTGGCTGGGGACAGGGGTCATTCAACGACCTTCGTTTGGCCTGCAGTGTCTGCAGGAATCTGGGTAGTGGCACCAAGATGAGTGAGCCTGCTCCGTGCTAGCCAGGTGTCACCAAGTTTCTGATCTACCCAGCTCTTGCCAGAGGTGAAGGGGGTCCCCTCGCTGAGTTGGTGTTTAGAGGAGCCCTGCTAGGTGGCCAGCCAATGAGGAGAGTTTTGGGCACAATGTATTCTGGCACCAACAATTTCCCACCAATGAAAGGCAACTCCCTCTCCAGATGTCTCAGGCGAGGGGACTTAATAGGATCTTGACTCAATTATGTCGCATGTGTTCCCGCTAGGGAGACAAGGTCCCCACGAGAGTGGTGGGGAAATTCAACAACTTTCTAAAATGGACTGCCCTGAGATAAGAGTGTGTTAGTCCAGGGCCGTGCTGAGGGTCTGTTCTGTTCAAGCTCAGCTCCATACTGCTGCATCCTCTGGACTTCTCCAGGGGAAAGGGCTTTAGATTACCGGAATGCTCTTTAGCTGAAGAGGGCAGGGTGGAGCAGAATGGGCTTGGACAGTACAGCTGTCTGTGTGCACCCGGTGAGCAATCTGTATGCTTAAGCAACAGGGTGCCAAGGAGAAGGGCTTGCCACCCAGCAGAGAGCTATTCAACGGCCCAGAGGTTGGCTGGGGTCCCTGCGCGGAGAGCAAGCAAGCAGGGAATGTAAAGAGAAACAAACTTTGTTCTTAGGAAATACGTGCAACCAGGGACCTTGCTAGAAGACGCGGAAGTAGCCATAAGAAAAAGAAATGGAAATCGTCATTATCAATTAACCATCCGAGAGCAGCCTGGTCCTCCTCTTCCCGTGACCACTATCCCCCTTATACTTAACAAGACTTAAAGAGAAGACCTTCCTGTACCAATGCAAGGTGAAGATGTAGAAAAGTTCAGTCTAACTTTTGGCATGCCACATGAATTAATGTGAGACAGAAAATAAGATTCAGCTGTTTATACAGAGTATCAAGCTGATTTAGAAATGTTCCTTTTGTCCCAATTCAACAAATGCATTCAATGAAAATGATAGTCATAAAAAATCAGTGCCTTGCACAGCACAGACCCCTGCCGCCTCCGCCTGCCTCTTTCCTGTGATACTTATGTTTGGAATTTCCCCCATCAGCTAAGGTTGCATACAAAGCAAGGGCCAAGATATGGCATATTTTACAGTGCGGACAGTATGAATTTGTCTTTGCCCAGGTGCCCCAAAGCCTGACGGAATGCTCATCTTGTTCATACAGCATTTTATTTTTTTGAGACGGAGTTTCACTCCCAGTTTCACTGCACCCAGGCTGGAGTTCAGTGGCGCGATCTCGGCTCATTGCAACCTTCGCTACCCAGGTTCAAGCAATTCTCCTGCCTCAGCCTCTTAAGTAGCTAGGATTACAGGCACGCGATACCACACCCAGCTAAGTTCTGTATTTTTAGTAGAGACGAGGTCTCACCATGTTGGCCAGGCTGGTCTAGAACTCCTGACCTCAGATGATCTGCCCGCCTCAGCCTCCCAAAGTGCTGGGATTACAGGCGTGAGCCACCACACTCAGCCGCATCATACAGCATTTTAAATAGCCACGTGCCATCTGTTTACATGCAACTGATCTGGGTTCCAAAAAAAAAAACTTTATCCTTTTCTCCAGGCCAGAGTATTAAGCATCAAGTCAAGAATGCTTCACTTTGCTCTGAGGACGGGATCAGTGCTCTTGTCTGGATATTGACATGCTAGCTGTGCTTCAGAAAATGAATAGGTAAGTTTGCCAGAAGCCAAAGACCAACTTGTATTCTCCCGATTCCACACCCCACCCCCCAACTCTTTAGATAAGAAAAATTATGGCTTTCAAAATTAAAGTTTTCAAAAATATATCATTCTCATACACAGACGTGGTTAAAAAACAAAAGCCTGTCATCACTAAATTTAAAAGGTTATTTTGACACAAAAATTGATCTACCACATGAAATTTGATTTGGCAAAAACATACTGAACTTGGTATTTTTTGAGGCTATGCTTTTGTTGGCTGAGGGAGAGGGGGACCAACCCACAGGGTTTCAGGAATAAGTGGATAATCACCTTTTAAGGTGATTTTAATTGACACTAGTGGGAAAACAGCTTCCTATAAAGTAATGTATGTATTTTTAAAAATCACTCCAAGTCCCGGAGAGAGGATTTTTGCAAAAATTCTGCCCACTAGGTGAAATATGGACTCGCCTTGTTCCCGTGGACCCGGCCTGGGGTGCTTTCTACAACAGTTTTGGGGAGCACGGTTCTGACCAATGTAAGATGATGGCTCACTCACCCACTTTCAGAATCAGCTGGCCCTTGAAGGCTTTCTGGTTTCACTGAGTCAATCTGGCGGACCCAGCTGAGGGCAAGATGGAATTGTGGAAGAGTTTCAGACAACTGTGTTCCCCTGCCTTCTCCCACGTACGCACCTACTCCATCCTGCACAGGTGAGGCTAGTGCGGAGCTGGAAAAGCTTGTGGTCGGGAGGAGGGAAGGATCTGGCCGTAGGTGTCAGAGAGGCAGAAGGCTTCAAATTTACCCAGTTTCTTCCTACAGGGCCATGGGCAGCCCTGTGTGGCAAATCAAACCAGGTAAAGGGCCTGACCGTAAGTATCTCAGGCTTTGTGGGCCACGTGAATTCTGTCACATATTCTTTGCTTTTTTTACAACTCCTTAAAAAGGTAAAAGCCATTGCTAGAGCCAGGGAGGTTGATGCTGCAGCGAGTCATGATTGCACTACAGTACTCCAGCCTGGGAGACAGAGCCAGGCCCTGTCTCAAAGAAAGGAAAAAGGAAAAACCATTCCTAGCTCACGGGGCCACATGCCACAGCTTGCTGACCCCTGAATTCAACCTTTCTGCCCTTCGACAAGCTGCCTCGCCCTCTTGAAATGTTTTGATATCCAGCTTGCTGACACCTTTGATTCAAGCCTGGCGCAGTGGGACTAGCTGAGCTCACCTGAGTCTTAAAGGGGCCGCCCACAGAGCCTGGCAGCGACTACAGATCCCTCTTTTACTCCATCACCACTGCTGGGAAGAGCTGGAGGGAAACAGGAAGCAGTAATCTCACTGCAAGAAGGGGCAACTGTAAACATCTGGGAAGCGTCCCGACAGTCCCGTTCCTTTCGGGGAAGCTGCTGAAATCTCCTTTCCCTTCCCTAGATGGGCCCTAGTGGACCTGAGCAATCTGGGCTCCCAGCAGGACGATGTGTCTCAGAACCACAACCTGAGCCAGACACTTGAGCAATTTCAAACCTAAACACAACCATGTGGTTCAGCAGCAGAGGCTCAACAATGCGGGTGGGTCCTTCCCCTCCAGATTTAAACTTCAGCATTAGCGACAACTCAGTACAACCCATATATTTTCCCCCACCAGACCCCTGTGCTTGTCAAACACGTAACAACACAACCAGGACAGAGAGCCTGCACCGCCCTTTGGGCACAGAGTCAGCTCAACAGCGTGGGGCCACCCATCTGATGACTTTACCCAGCAGCGCTTGGGGCTGTCAGGTTAAAAGTCTTGACACGTCTGGGGTCCCAACCGAAAAACAAAATGAAAAGTTTTTTTTGGAAAAACGCTTTCAGACAGAGCATTATTCCCTGGAACAAGTCTTGGTCATTCTTGTGTTTTAAAAATAAAAAGCACAGCGAGAACAGAGGTAGGACTTAACATTGCCATCGAGAGTTTTCTGCGAGGTCCAGAATGAGCTAGAACGTGTGCGGCGGTGAGGCTGCCACCACCAGGACTCTTCTTTTGCAGGCTGCGAAGGGAACAGTCTGGACGTGTGCGCCTATGTGTGCACGTTCTTCCTAAAACACGGTTCTTCTTGAAGACACGGTGGGAGTGGAGTTTTGTGTCTCCTGGCCGGCGGCTCCTGGTTCTTCCAGACCACACGACTGATAGCTCTCCTTTTTGTGCTGCATGTTGGTTAGTTTCTTCTCCTCTCTATGGCAAGAGTAGGGGAAAAGTTAGGATGACTTCAATCGTTTAAGGGAAATCAAGATGTAAGGGGTCGATCAAAATCCACAGTGAAAGTGAGGGAGGGATCATATGAAAATATCTGCCCGGCCTGACGCAGCAAAAGGCGGGTCAACTTTTGCTCATCCACGAAGGGCTCTTTAAGTTTTCTGGGGTGGGTTTCCCTGATGATTTGGAGGTTGCTGCTGGGTCCCTCGGGGTTGCCTGGGGCTCATGCAAGAAGGAAGATTCGCTCAACGTGGCGTCCTGGGAGTCAGCGCCGGTGGAGGGGTCAGCCTCACTGGACAGGTCTTCCGTGGAGAAGTTGAGACTCCCGAGCTTGGCAAGGGAGTGTGAGCGCTTCAGTGGAGAAGAGACAGTGAGGCCTGCCAGCCGGAGCCGGGTCTCAATCTCCTGCGTCCGCTGCTTCACCAGCCCAGGCTTCCCACGGACGCTGTGGATGCTATCGCTGCTGGAGCTCCGGGTCAGGTTGGAGCTCATGGAAGAGGAGGTGGGGGTGTAGCAGATGGTCTTCAGAAAGTCTTTTGAGAAACTACTGGTGTGGTCCAGGCGGTAGAGGAAAGGAGGGGGGCTCTTCAGTGAGCCTCCTTCCAACGAAGCGGGGGCGGCCTCTGATTTCTCATCACTCCCAGCCTGGCCAGGCATAACCAGGGGGCCCAGCTCGTGGAGCGCGGCTAGATCCTGGCTCTCCTCGGGGATGCTGGCCTCCAGCCTGCTGGCAGGGCCGTCCCTGGAGGGAGGTGCTGGGTCTGTAGGCACGCTCTTCAGCCGCTCCAGTTCTTTGGTGTGCTTGCGGACCAAGCCCGCCTTCTGCAGCTGAATGATGGACTCCTGGTGCTGCATCAGGTAGCTGTTGGTTGTCGGCTTCTCAGATTCATTACTGAACAGAAGCCTCAGGTCCTTGGCTGGCTTTGTATCTTTCTTGGGTGGCGATTCTTCCTTTGTTACCACTTCTGTGCTGGGAGGGTTCTTATCACAGTGAGAATTCTTCAAAAGGAGGGACTTTGGCAGGACTTTTGGGGTCTCTCTGGAAGGTTCCAAAAGGCTGGTTGGTGGTTCTAGGACAGCTCCAGCCCCAGGGCCACTGGTGTCTGGCCTCCTGGAGCCTGCTGGTGGTAGGAACGGGGGAGGTTCAGTTGGGCCGGAGGCTGGCTTCTCCGGAACACGGGACCTGTTGGCCATGTGGGCCACGGGGGAGGACGTGATGTGGGGCAGGAAGGCTGGCTGGGTGCAGATGGCGGGAGCACTGAGGACCTCACATCGCTCCCTGGAGGCCTCAGGAGCCCCACTGGCTGTAGGGTACACGCAGTCGGCACAGGATTTATAGGAAGGCTTCACTTTGTTAAGGATCCCAAATATAGCATCATGCTACAAGGAAGGGACAAGAACATGGTGAGATGGGGCAGTCATGAGCAAAGACCAAAAACATGAGGGAGGGCAGGGAAAGGCATGCGAGGCAGGGCTGGGGGCCAGGCCTGGAGGAGCAGCTCTCATTTCACTTAGTACCGACAGCCAGACCTCCCGGAGCCCACTTGATTGTGGATAACCACCGTGCCTGGCCTGAGGTGGGTTTTATACGCCAACAGAAAACAAGTTTAGGCCAGGTGCGGTGGCTCACGCCTGTAACCCAGCACTCTGGGAGGCCGAGGCAGGCGGATCACGAAGACGGGAGAGCAAGACCACCTGGCTAACATGGTGAAACCCCGTCTCTACTAAAATTACAAAAAATTAGCTGGGCGTGGTGGCGGGTGCGGGTGCCTGTAGTCCCAGCTACTCGGGAGGCTGAGGCAGGAGAATGGTGTGAACCCAGGAGGCAGAGCTCGCAGTGAGCCGAGATCGCGCCACTGCACTCAGCCTGGGCGACAGAACAAGACTCCATTTCAAAAAAAAACAAAACAAAACAGTTTACATTGTTTCCTAAGGAAAACCCCCTGCCTTCTGGTCAGTGAGGATCTAAGTGAACATCACACACGCCTCTATGTCCCCACCCTTCACTTCCTCACAGGCCAGTTGATAGGTAGCCAGTGGTCCTGGGAATGGACTAGAAAGCTGTGTGAAGAGTCCCAGGGGAGAGAGGGACAAGTTCAGAGTCTCCACGGGGGGAAGGCTGCCCAGAGGAACTGACACTTCAGCTGAGGCTTCTGGGACAAGCAGGTGTTGACCAGCCAGAGACAGCAGCATGCAGGCCCAGAAGCAAAGCGGGAGGAAGGAGAAGGGCACCCCGCACCCCACCCCACCTGCACAGGACTGTAGGCTGGAGGGCAGGACAAGGCAGGGGGCAACAGGGCTCTGTCTCTCTCTTTCAAATAGATAGAGATAGGGCCCTACTATGTTGCCCAGGCTGGTCTCGAACTCCTGGGCTGAAGTGATCCTTCTGCCTCAGCCTCCCAAAGTGCTAGGATTATAGGCATGAGCCAGCACAACCCACCAGCTCTCTCTCTCAACACCTCCTGATGTCCTTGCCCCATCCTCGGAGCCACTGTGATCCCAGGCTCCCAGCTTCCCCTCTCACCCCACCAGCCTGCCTATAGACCACAGTCAGAGGGGGCTCATCACCCGCCTGCTTAAAGCCCCCGCCATGGCTTCCGGGGTTTTCTTTTCTTTTTTTTAAATGGAGTTTCACTCTTGTTGCCAAGGGTGGAGTGCAATTGTGTGATCTCAGCTCACTGCAACCTCTGCCTCCCGGGTTCAAGCGATTCTCCTGTCTCAGCCTCCTGAGTAGTTGGAATTACAGGCATGCACCCCCATGTCCAGCTAATTTTGTATTTTTAGTAGAGACGGGGTTCCACCATGTTGGTCAGGCTGCTCTTGAACTCCTGACCACAGATGACCTCAGATGATCTGCCCACCTTGGCCTCCCAAAGTGCTGGGATTATAGGCGTGAGCCACCATGCCTGGCCCAGGGTTTTATCTCATCTGTCTTTATGGGTATTTGCTTTGTAGGGAAGTGAGGGAAATCCATAATTAGTATTTGATTTGGAACATTTTATGGAGGTCGACAGATGCAACTGCCCAGTTTTGTTTGCATTATAACATGCTGTTAATAATAAACTGGCTGTATACTTGAATGCATCTGTCAGGACCCCAAGTGCCCCAACTTGAGAACCACGGCTGTCCTGTGAGACGGGCAGGTGAAGCCAGAGGGAACGAAGTCAGCGGCAGGGCAAGGGTGGAAGCAGAGACCAGGCTGCACGGCCACCCTTCCCCTGAACCAGCCTTGGCTCCTGCATCACTTCCCCCATGAAGGAGGATAAAGTTTGGCTGGAATTAACGAATTTCTCAGTAAGCACCAGGTTGAAGCTCAAACCTTGTGGCAGATAATCCACTAAAAATGGCAACTCCAAGAGACTAATGGAGTTAAGTATTAGAGTCTAAGTTGGAAGGTTGGATACTTGATAATGTCGGGAAATTACTATCTTTTTTTTTTTTTTTTTTTTGAGATGGAGTATCACTCTGTTGCCCAGGCTGGAGTGCAGTGGCACGATCTCGGCTCACTGCAACCTCTGCCTCCTGGATTCGAGCAACTCTCGTGCCTCAGCCTCCTGAGTAGCTGGGATCAGAGGCACGCACCACCACACCCAGCTAATTTTTGTATTTTTAGTAGAGACAGGGTTTCACCATGTTGGCCAGGATAGTCTCAATCTCCTGACCTCCTGATTCGCTTGCCTTAGCCTCCCAAAGTGCTGGGATTACAGATGTGAGCTACCGCATCTGGCCCTATCAGTTTTTTTAAAGGTGACAATGGTATTGTGGCTATGTTAACATACTGCGGCATTTATGAATAAAATAATGTATTTGAGGCCAAGCGTGGTACTCAAACCTGTGATTCCAGCACTTTGGGAGGCCAAGGTGGGCAGATGGCTTGAGGTCAGGCTGGGCAACAGTGAGACCTCATCTCTACAAAAAAATAGAAAAAATTAACCGGGTGTGGTAGCATGTGCCTGTGGTCCCAGCTACTCAGGAGGTGGAGGTGGGAGGATCACTTGGGCCTGGTAGGTGAAGGCTGCAGTGAACCATGATCATGCCACTGTATTCCAGCATGGGCAACAGAGTGAGAACTTGTCTACAGTATGTATCTATCTGTATCTATAGTATATAGTATATACCTATAATATATTTATTTTTAGATATAGGTATCTATATCTACATCTGGGATTGGCTCCAGAATCGTCCAGGGTGTGGGGAAGTGGGTAGGCGTGAGATGAAAAAGCATAGTCACGTATCGCTAAAGGCTGAAGTTGGCTGATAAATTATATGTTTTAATTTTACATATGCAAAAAGAAATTGAGCTGGAAGCCCCGCCCAGGGTATGGATAAGGTATATGGGTGAAGATGGCGTGCAGAGATATGCATTATTCCTAAGAGATTCCCAATTCGCTATATAAGGTACGCATTACGTACCCACAGGCAGAATCACCGTCTGAAAGAACCCTCAGGTCCCTGGAGATGGGAGCTGGGGGCCCAGCAGAGGCAATAGAAAAAAATCAGCTGGGTGTGGTGGCGCGTGCCTGTAGTCTCTGCTACAGAGGCTGCGGTAGGCCAATCAGAGTGGGATGGAAGGGACGAGGTGTGCCACCCTGCAGGCCGGGCCCTGCCTACCTCCGTGCCGTCGGGACAGCTCCTCTTGCTGTTGTTGTTGTTTAGGTTCTCCGAGTTGAGCAGGTTTTGATCAAGTTGGGTTGGAAGCCGCCCCCAACTCCCTGCTCCCAGGCCCTCCTCCCTGTCCATCTCCTCCACCTGCGGCAAGGAGCCACTCTGGCCTTTGGGACTCCCAAACTCTAGTTTCTTCTTCACATCCTTCTCACAGAGTCCGGACCCCTGCTGGGGCTGTCTGGCTGGCCTGTGAACCTCTGCAGGTAGAGCAGCTTCCTCCAACAGAGCCTCCCTCTCCGGATCCTGCAGGTGGACCAAGCTGCCAGTTTCATCCTCAGGGGAAGGCAGAAGCGGGTCTGAGAGTCTCCGGAAACAGCAGGGGAGGGGGGGCCCTAAGCCAGGCTGGGTGGCATCATCCAAGCAGGGCAGCTGGCCTTCCAGGGTGCCATCTGGGGTCTCTGGCAAGAAGTCGCCGGGTCCCGCAGGGTCATCCACAGGCTGCTGGAGGTTGCTGTCTGTCTGCTGACGCCACAGCTTGTTGTGCCGCTGTTTGCTGCGGGGAGAGAGGATGGAGGAAGGTGAGGGGAGGAGGATGGTGCCTAGGGGTGCTGGGAGGAGTGTGCGGTGAGCCAGTGAGGGGCTGCCCAAGGTCGGGGCGCCAGGGACGATCCATGGCTCATTCAGGTAAAGCCTCTCTCTATTCATTTGTTCCCAAGAAACACAAGGATGAGAAACAACACTGGGATCTTAAGTTGTCCAGGCTCGCACAGGAAGCCTGATGTGACTTTCTGCCCTGATGACAACGGGGAAGGAACGCGGGGGCGTCTAGACTTCAATCTGTGTATCTGTGTTTAGTGCTGCCTCATTTTACGAACTTCGTCACGTCAGTTACACTCCATCTCTCATTTCTCTGTCAAATAAGAATAACAACGCTCTCCTAACTATATTGTAGGAATATGAAGAGAATCAAAGCAGAGTATGTACAGATCTATACACGATGATACCACTATACACACGCATAATGCACTGGAACACATTTGGGAAGATCTCGGAAAACTACAAAGTATTTGTGTAGGTCAGTTTTTAAACAATTTCTTCTACTATGATGACATTGTTTTTATAATCCTTTTTTTTTTGAGATGAGAGTCTCACTCTGTGGCCCAGGCAGGAGTGCAGTGGTGTGATTATGGCTCACTGCAGCCTCAAACTCCTGGGCTCAAGCGATCCTCCCGCTTCACCCTCCCAAGTAGCTGGGGCTACAGGCATGTGACACTATCCTTGGCTAATTAAAAAAAAAATTTTTTTTTTTTTTTTTTTTTGTAGAGACAGGGTCTTGCTGTGTTACCCAGGCTGGTCTTGTACTCCTGGTCTCAAGCGATCCTCCCTCAGCCTCCCAAAGTGTTGGGATTACAGGTGTGAGCCACTGCACCAAGCCCTATAATAAAAATGTAAGGCATAAAAAAAGAAGTTTACAGTGAAATAAGGTAACTAAGTCACCCTTAAGGACCTTAAAGTAATACCAATACAGGCTTGCAAGGGTTAAAAAGAGAGAGGTAAATGTAAGGGCACACTGTGAGAGCGCCATTCACCCTCTCTGCTCAGTGTGCACATTCCAGCCAGCAGCTATTCAAGGACACCGCCAAGCTGCTGTGAACCCAGCCTGGAGTGCTCAGCTTAGGCTGCAAAGGGCACTGAGTGCCTGGCAGGCTCGGGGAGAGGACAGTGAGATGCTCACTCTTCCTCCTCCTCCTCCTCCTCTGGGCCTTGCCTGGGGATCTGTCCAGCCCTTCTGACAGTGAAGGAGTCCACAGTTGGCCGGCGCTGTTCTTTGGACCCTGTTTAACCCTGCCAGGGCACTCCTGCATTCTCAAACTTGGCCAAGAAGCTGGTGGACTTCGCCTGTGGCTTCCTTCCAACACCGGCCTGATATCACCCAGGGAGGTTTGCTTCTCATACAGACTGACTAGAAAGGGAACCAGGAGAAAGTGACGCCCAGGTTCTGGGCTTCCGACCTTAGAGCCTGGGGTACTGGAATCAAAGCGAGGACCTCCCCACCACCCCGTGTGGGCAACAGAACCGCAGCGCTTTTTGCACACAGCACCCTGACTCAGGCCGAGTGAGGGGCCGTGGTGTACCTCTCCCTCCTGCTGCCCACTGGCTGTGTGATGGGGGACAGGTCAGCCTCTCAGTGTCAGCTCATTATCCCTGCCCTGATCCTCGTAAAAGGGGGATAACCTGTACAGAACTTTTTAGGGTGGGAGTTCAGAGACTTTAAAATAAGCTCCATTTATTATTTACCACAAGCCAGATCTGGAAGTATCTGTAAAGGTAAACTTGTTTAGCATTGCAAAAGGAAAATAAATCTTGGGACCCTAAACTCACTAAGCCAAAGGGAAAAGTCAAGCTGGGAAGTGGGTCACACAAATCTGCCTCCCATTTTGGTTCCTAAATAAGATGGCTACGAAGATGAAAAGCTACACACCTCCCTCATATCTTGCCCACAAGGAAGTTCCTTGCTGTCCCCAAGATCTTTACCCTAAAGCTTTTCTGTTAAAATTCACCATGGCAATGTAAATTGACCACTGTCTTCACAGGTGGGAGGGTGGGTGGGAAGGAAGACAGAGGACAGGACTCAAAGTCATCGCTCTACCGGCCTGACACAAATGCGTATCTGATTGTCTCCTCTGCCCTATTGTCTATGTTATGCAAAAACGCAGATTCACAGAGCCAGACGAAGGCATGCAGGACTCTCTTCCCCCTACCCCGCCTCACATGAAAATTGTGTATTTCTCAGTATCCCACCCTTTCCCCTTAAAATTTGAAGCCCTCAAAATTATCTTCGGAGAAAGGCACAGACCTGTCTCCTGGGTGCTCATCCTTAACACTGGCAAATAAACCTCCTGAAATGATTGAGACTTGCCTCGGTCATTTTGCTTGATTGACAGACAGCGCTTATGCAAACTTCACAGCAGCCCTATTGGGTGGGTATTCTTTAAAAACAATTTTTGAGGTGAAGTCTCACTCTGTCACCCAGGCTGGGGTGCAGTGGGACAATCTTGGAACCTCTGCCTCCCGGGTTCAAGCGATCCTCGTGCCTCAGCCTCCTGAGTAGCTGAGATTACAGGCACGCGCCACCACACCTGGCTAATTTTTTTTTGTATTTTTAGAAGAGATGGGGTTTCACTATGTTGGCCAGGCTGGTCTCAAACTCCTGACCTCAGGTGATTCGCCTGCACTGGCCTCCCAAAGTGCTGGGATTACAGCGACTGACCCTCAAATTTTTTTTATGGCTAAAATACATATAACATAAAATGTGGGCCACATGTGGTGGCCCAGCACTTTGGAAGGCCAAGGTAGAAGGACTGATTGAGCCCAGGAGTCTGAGACCAGCCTGGGCAACATAGTAAAACCTTGTCTTTACAGAAAATATGCAAAAAACTAGCCGACTATTGTGCGCACCTGTAGTCCCAGCTGCTTGCGGGGCTGAGGTGGGAGAATCATTTGAACCTGGGAGGTTGAGGTGTCATGATCATACCCTGCACTCCAGCCTGGGTAACCGAGTGAGACCCTGTCTCAAAAAAATAAATAAATGAAACAAAATTTGCCATCCTGACCATTTTTTATTTATATATTTTTAAAATTTTTATTTATATATTTATTTTTGAGAAAAGGCCTCACTCTGTTGCTCAGGCTGGAGTGCACTGATGCGATCATGGCTCACTGGGGTCTTGAACTCCTGGCCTCCCAGGTTCAAGCCATTCTCCCGCCTCAGCCTTCCAAGTAGCTGGGATTACAGGTGCATGCCACCACACCCAGCTAATTTTTGTATTTTTAGTAGAGATGGGGTTTAACCTTGTTGGCCAGACTGGTCTTGAATTCCTGACCTCAAGTGATCCACCCGCCTCAGCCTCTCAAAGTGCTGGGAGTACAGGCCTGACCCACCACACCCGGCCTCATCTTGACCACTTTTAAGTGTACATTAAATACATTCATAATGTTGTGCAACCATCACCACCATCCAGGCAGCCTCCAGACTACAGTCTCCAGAACACTCTGTCTCTGGCAAAGCTGAAATTCAGTACCCAACGAATAATAACTCCTCATTCCCTTCTTCCTCCAGTCCCTGGCAACCACCATTCTACCCTCTGTCTCTATGACTTTGACTAAGTAGCTCATATGCATGGAAACATACAGTAGTTCTCTTTTTGTGATTGGCTTATTTCACTTAGCACAATGTCAGGAAGGCTCATGCCTGTTGTGGCCTGTCAGACTTTCCTTCCTTCTTAAGGCTGTGTAATGCCCCACTGTATGAATATGTCACATTTTGTTTGTTCATCATCCATCAATGAACACTTGGATTGCTTCCGCTTTTTGGCTATTGTGGATAATGTTGCTATAAGCACTAATGTACAAATATCTCCGAGACACTGCTTTCAATTGTTTTGGATATATTTCCACAAGTGAAATTGCTGGATGATATAATAATTCTATTCCTTTTTTTTTTTTCCTTAGACAAAGTTTCACTCTTGTTGCCCAGGCTGGAGTGCAACGGGCACGGGGCTCACTGCAACCTCTGCCTCCTGGGTTCAAAGCGATTCTCCTGCCTCAGCCTCCTGAGTAGCTGGGATTACAGGTGCGCGCCACCATACCCAGTTAATTTTGTATTTTTAGAAGAGATGGGGTTTCTCCCTGTTGGTCAGGCTGGTCTTGAACTCCCGAACTCAGGTGATCCACCTGCCTGGGCCTCCCAAAGTGCTGGGATTACAGGTGTGAGCCACCGTGCCTGGCCCCTAATTTTCTGAAGAACAACCATACTGTTTTCCACAGCACCTGTACCATTAACACCCACATTAAGGTGAGCATTCATTGTTTTTTGTTTTGTTTTGTTTTCTTTTTCAGACAGGGTCTGGTTCTGTCACCCAGGCTGGAATGCAATGGCACAATCTCGGCACACTGCAAGCTCTGCCCCCTGGGCTCAAGCAATCCTCTTACCTCAGCATCCCAAGCAGCTAGGACCACTGGTGCACGCCACCACACCTGGCTATTTCTTTTTGTACTTTTGGTAGAGACAGGGACTCAGCATGTTGCCAATGACAGCAATAGGAGGCAGAGAAATTCTAGGCAGACAGGGGCGGGTCCCTGGCAAAACCCCACCTTCAAGCCGAAAAGCCTGAAACCTGTGTCCCAGAGTAAGAACACTCATCCCGGTGTGCCTGCTCTTTCCCGACTGGCTCCTTCTGAATAATGTCTTTTTACCAATTGAATGTTGCCTTTTCCAAAACTACCTATAGCCCACTCTGCCCCTATCCTGTGCCTATAAAGACCACAGACTCAACTGGCAGAGAGAAGCAGCAGCTGGACATCAGGAAGAAGTGCCTGGACGTCGGAGAGAGGCAGCTTGATTTCAGAAGATGGAGGCTGGATGAGGCAGAGAGGTGGCTTGACCTCAGGGGAGAGCAACCTTCCCTTCCCATCCCTTTTCCGGCTCCCCTCTCTGCTGAGGGCTGCTTTCATCACTCAATACAATTCTCCACATTCACCATTCTTCAATTCGCCCATGTGACCTCATTCCTCTTGGGCACCAGACAAGAATTCAGGACACACCAGGTGTGAGTACCCAAAAATGCTGTCACACTGGCCCTTTGCCCTTGCTGGCAGAAGGCAGCTGCCTCACACGATGAAGCAAAGGGCCCACTGAGCTGGTAACACACTGCTATCTGCGGACGGCAGAGCGAAAGGATATCATACCACACTCTGAGACCTTGGGGTCACAGGCACCCGCATCCGGACGATGCTGTGGGGCCTGCACAGAGTTCACTCTTGCCAGTGCCAAAGAGGCCAGTTCCTCCACTCACTCACTCACTCACTCCAGTTCTTGCACTAGTTCGCTTGTACGGTCCCTCCCATGAGGGGTTGAGTGGGGTGGGCTGAGTAAATGAGGCACCCCTGTAAGAAGTCCCACAAAGGGGTCAAGAATATATACTGCATCAGCAAGGCTGGTCTTGAACTCCTGAGCTCAGGCGATCCACCTGCCTTGGCCTCCCAAAGTGCTGGGATTACAGGCGTGAGCCACCACCCCTGACTCAGTGTTTTAAGAAGCATTTTTGTTTAAGAGATGGGGTCTCGCTCTGTCATGCAGGCTGGAGTGCAGTAGCACGATCACAGTTCGCTGCAGCCTCAAACTCTTGGGCTCAAACAATCCTCCCATCTCAGTTTCCTGGCAGCTCGGACTGCAAGTGCCTGTCACCAGGCCCGGCTAAGGTGGGCATTAATTCTTAACTCAGAAGAGGGAACTGAGGCTCGGGAAGACTGATGAACTTGCCCTGACTTGCCCTGCTCATCAGTGGTGGAACCTGGTTGCTGTGCCTCTCCAAGTCCTTGGCTTTTCCTGCAGCAAAGCCGGTGCACAGGGCTTGGCACAAAGCAGATGCCCAGGAAGCGGGATGCGCACGTGCCTATGCCACACACATGAGGCCAGGCCTTGGCTTAGAACCTAGGCACCGTTCCCTCCGGCAGCAAAACCAGCTTTATGTGTGTGCCAAGAAAATCAAAACAGATCCCTCCTGGAAACCACTCATCAAAGCCCAAACAATAGTTGTTTTTCTCAAACTGGCTCCCCCTGAGAGGCAGGATTTTGGCTGCGGAAGCGGCTGCCGGGCCGAATGGGAGCACGCTCTGCTGCCGACAGAGGCCCGGCTGGCTTGGCCACACGGCCGCTCCAGCTCCGCCTGCCAACCCTTCTCTCCAGGCAGGCACCTACCTTGCGTCCAAGATGCCTTCATACTCAGACAGCTGCCTCATAAAGCCTGCGTTGGGACGCGTGATGCTGCGCTTCTGCTTCACGTAGTTATACGCTTTTTCCAGAGGCCAGCCGAATTCCTTCATTGCATAGGCTATGACTGTGGAAGCCGAGCGACTCACGCCCATTTTGCAATGCACCAGGCACTTGGAATGGTTCCTCCTGCAGGGGTGGAAGCAGTTAGGGAGGAGGGATGGGGGAGAAGCTGTGGGGAACGAGTTAAAAAGCTCCAACGACTTCATTTTCTCAGGTTTTACCTGAATCATTTTTTTAAAGCCTGTAGTTATCTACCGCTGAAATCCTCCTACATCTGAATGTTTACGGAGCAGATGTCCACACACCCTCTAAAGGAAATACCACCACTGCAGAATCAATTAGCACACAATGGGATATCAAAAGAAATCTGTTCTGGCCTGGCCATGTTTTGTTTGCAGGGAGAGCTTCAACATTTGGCTGCATTCAAGGACCAAGTGAGAATCTTCTCACATGGCTGGGATGGGCAAGGGGACCCTGGGATGAGAGTGGGCAGCTAACAGGATTTTTGCAAGAGCTCCTCAGCTGCTACAGCAGATGGAGACAGTGAATGAGTTACTGCAGAAAAATGGGGTCAGCAAACTGAAAGCTGCAAGGCCCTGGGGAGAGCGAGATGCTCTTCAGAGAGGAGGGCCAGGGAGCAGGAGGGAGGGAGGGCAGCCGCAGAGAAAAGCCAGGAGTGGGAGACGGGGCTGGCCCGTTATTTGTAAGGAGGCAGTGCTGGCCCAGGCCTGGCTAATTTACCAGATATGGCCCGGGGGACAATGTTTCTTTAACTATCACTTGCTCAAGAATGTGAGGGAGCGCCAGGCCAGTAAGGGCAGCACCTGCGAAACTTTATTTGTACAGAAGGCAGACCCAGCAGGTGGGAGCCGGCTCTGGTTTCCTATACCCCAAGCTTGAAATTCTCCTGCAGATCTCAGTGGGTTTTTTTCCTCCTAACTGCTGGTCTGAAGTCTCCGTCAAGGGAGTCTTGAGTATGTCTCCTGGGAATACAAGGGAACTAAGATTTGGTTAAGGACACATCATGTGGCTTTGACCCAGAGGGAGACAAAGCAGAAGAGGGTGATTGTCTGGACAGCATCTCAAAGGGTTCTCTTTTTCTGTTCTTGACTTCAGTAAGGCAGAACTGTTTCGCAGGGGAATAAAATGAGCATCAGAGATAGGTGAAACCAGTGACGGGCTCAGGGGCAGTGGGGCTGGCCATGACCTCCGATGTGCTGTCCTGTTCCATGTGACAGTAACTCAGGGAGGGAAGATGGGCCGTATTCTTAGGGAGACAGTCCCAAAGCAGCTCTAAGCTGCATCCATGCATGTTGTCCTCTAGCCCGCCTTTGGCTCAGTGACTTCCTAGGGGTGGGGTCCCTGAGTGTCCATTTGGTATCTGGGGCTTGCCTGGAATCAGAGCTGATGATGACAACTGGGGTCAAGTGTCACAATCAAAGACAGGTGGGAGAGCCTAAGCTCAATAGGGACTCTACCTGGAGAGAAGCAACCACCTTTCTCCTTTGGTGCTTGGCGTCCTGCGACTAAAAGCATAGGTCCATCCCACATCAAGTCCCCTCCCACCAGCCGACTCCTGTGTCTGGAGTCCTGTTCCCCCCTCCCACCAGCCAACTCCTGCGTCTGCAGTCCCGTTTGTTCCCACTCTCCCAGCTTCCGCAGGTCCGTTTCATCCTCAGCCCCGCCTCTCTGCCCACTTACTTCGCTTTGTTTATAAAATGATACGCTTCGTTCCAGTGGGCAAGGAGGTCTGTGGTCTCTTCGTCGTAGACTCGGATGTTATGATATGCAAATAAGCCAGGAAAAAAATTATCTATTTCTCTGGTAACATTTAAAATGTAATCAACCCTGCAATGAGAAAAAAATAAGAAACATATTTGGAGAATCAGAATGAGAAACAACGAAAAGCAAGGTAATAAAAAACTGGCAGAGAAAAGAAAAGGAAACACGCTTTAACCAAGGGTCATATGTTCGTGGTGGGACTTTGGTTTTTCCTTAATAGCTACGTTTTTTTGTATTTTCTAAATGCCCTTTCGATGGTGAGAGTGTTGTCATATTTATACTAAGAAACCAAATTATTTTAAAGACCTTATAAAAAGAAAGCTCAGTTTAAAGCATTCTGGAAAATTAAATATATGTATTACTTAAATTTATAACTATTCATAACTATTATGAATATACAGAGGCTTAAAAAAAATCCCAGTGTCTTCACTCTTAAAGAGCTAAAAAGCAGACTATATCCATCCATTATCTATATCCTTGGGAATTGCCTTAAATCTTTTTTTGAAAAAAGGCAAGACAGATAATTAAGTATTTGACAGGGTCTGCTAACCCAGGTTCTGTAGTTATCTAAACTTAATCAATACTTTTACTTCTGGAAGAAAATAATGTCAGGAGTTAGAAAACATCTCAAATAGGTTTCATAATATTTAGACATGCTTAAAAAAATACCTACGAAAATCATTAATTTATTCCCAGCAAGACGAAAGCACAGAAGGGTACGGCCTTACGTTTTAAGAGTACTTTCTGTTGAAATAATGCATCTTAACCGGTAGTTCTAAAGATGTATTTTAAGGTTTGTTTAGTCTTGATTTTTAAATGTGGTAATTCTAGAATGTCATTATGTCAGGCCCACAGAACGGTGATTTTGTGACTGTGTTAAAAAAAAAAAAAGTCCAGACATCTGTTCTTGAAGGTCTAGATTGAAACATTTTTCCTCCTTGCTGAGTGTTTGTCAGACTACGACAGGAATGTGCTTCTGGCCAACACTGAGCGTGAAGTTGCAAGATTCCCACCAGGCCCCAAAGCGTAAGCTCAGATAGAGCCCAGAGAGGCCCAGGGATCAGAGCTGCTGACTAACGAAACAGCCAGCAGACCTCTGCATCCACACTAGGGTTTGCAGCAACTGTGCGGGGCAGGGAGGCCAGGGGGAGGCAGCACAGGGCCTAATCAATATCCAGGCAGTCCTACAGCAATTAAGAGTGTAATTTTAAGTTTTCCTCAACCCACACAATCACGAGAGACTTCAGCACAATCTAAACTCCATGAATTATTCAGGGCGTGGTGTTTGGAAGCACATCTGTTTAGCTATGCACATCAACCCCTGGCAGCCACTTCAGAGACCAGGGTGCAGGCAGTTACAGGCAGGCAGCCCCAAGGTCTCCCCCTCCGTGGCAGAGTGGAGGGTTTCTAAGCTGCCTGGAAGGACAGGGAAAGAACAAGGGGAGGAGACTCACCCTGAGCCCTGCAGTTCCTCCAGATTGGATGCATTCCATTCAGAGCCCTGGGAGACAGATCACACAAACTCCTGTGAGTGTCACATGTCAGCCTCAGAGCTGCTCAGGGGATGCACGGTTTGCCCTAGCTCTGGCAGTGAGGTCTTACTTCATGGCCCCTTGGCCTCAGAGAACAGAGAGAACCAGCAGCTGATATTCAAGGAGGTTCCTGAGTGAGTACTCACAGCATGGGAGGAAGGGAGGAAGGGAGGAAGGGAGGGAGGGACAGAGGGAGGGAAGGGTCCCGGTCCTCACTGGCCCCTTGGCCTTAGGGAAACACCAAGTCCAAGAAAACCTGCTCTCCGTCTCCCAACTTCCTTTCCTAAGAGTCCAGTGGGGTCCTGTAAGCAGAGGTGATGACCTGCGACCTCCCACCCAGGGAAGGGCATGTTCACAAGCCACTAATTAAAGCAGGAACCGTTCTACCTTCTGGGAAGTATTTTGGCAATACTGAAAAAGTTCCCACCCTCTGACCCAATAATTCCACTTACAAAAAGCTATCCTGAGGAAATAATCAGAATTCACACAGTGATTTAGGTAGGAGGATATTTATAATTATTTGTAATAAACCAGTGGAAACCACCCAAACGTCCAATGGGAAAAAATGAGTAAAATAAATGAGGCTGGATCTTCATGATGGAGTCTTTAAAACAAATAAATTTTGCAGAATATTTAATGACACAGGCAAATACCATGTAAGGAAAAAAAATTTAAAAAGAGAGAAGGATACTGGACTATATAAACATAAACAGTATGATCCTTTCCTTCTCTGTTTCTTTTTAAAGAAGCTACATATGCATTGAAAAAACCCCCAAAAAAACCGAAGATGGGAAAATAAATATGCCAAAATGTTAACAGGGACTACCTCTAGATTTGTGAGATTGGGAATGCTTTTTTCTTCTTTAGATTTATTTCTATTTGCAGACTTTCTGCAACATGTTTTAATTTAGTACTTTTAAAAGTACTAAATTTTTGTACTTTTCATCATTAGTATCGTTGAAAAACCTTCCATTCCCAAGCATTCAAAGGACATGGAACGGCGGAAAAAAAAAAGAAAGAAAAGAAAAAATGATCACTTTCCTCTTAGGAAATGCGAACAACATAGTGTCATAAAGAGCAAAAGAATCCACCTTTGTCTTCCTTGCAACTTCCTTTCCCAAGTTACCAAGAGGGCAGACCCCTCAGGACCAGGGGTGGCAGGGCCCTAAGCAAGCTGGCAATGTGCGACACTAGTTGAATTTTCATATTTGAGGGTAAGGCCCAAACATAAAAATTCCTTTAGTATCTCTCATGGAAAAAGTGACATAAAGCACCGAACCACACCAAAAAAATAACGCGAGCGCCACTGAAGCTGTGAGCATCCTCTTGCTGTGACTGCCACCTAGTGGAGAAAGACAGGACGAAGGTGCCTTCTGTTCCCTTCTGACCAGGGAAATCAACAGACTTCCAGAGAGATCAGTGCCCACAACTGCCCACGGCTTTCAAATCCACACATGTACATACATCTTAATCAATAACTATGAAATCTATATAGATTTGTACACAGAAATGTATTAAAAATACACATATCTATATATCTACATAGATATCATGACATACACATAACTTAATTACTTCCTACAGAAAACAAAATTTACTAAAATTTACTAGCACTAAATTTACTTCCTTAGCTTTCCCAGGAAGCGCTTTCTCCTCTAACAATGGTTACCATTTATTAGCACCTACAGAAACTGCACTCGGTGCTTTAAATATGTATTTTTTATTTTATTAAAAAAACCTATTTTTTAGAGACAAGGTCTCACTGTGTTGCCCAGGCTGGCATTGAACTCCTAGGCTAAAGCTATCCTCCCGCCTCAGCCTCCTGAGTAGCTGGGACTACAGGCATAAGCCTCTGTGCCCAGTTTGTATTTTATTTAATCCTCATAGTCATCCCTTGGGGTATAGGATGAAGAAAAAAAGAGGGAAAGTGACTTCTTCCAAGCCATATAGCTGTTGAGGCTGAGGAGTGGGAACCCGGGCCCTGGTGGGCCTTGATCTTCATTACACCACCAGGCCTCTCTAATTTTAGTAACGTGCCTTCCTCTATAGCCTCTCTGACTTTGAAAACCTGCCAGTTGCCTTCTATGGAGATTTACAGCATTAAGATAATCTGAGCTAGCCGTGGAGGTGCACAGAAATCAGTACAACCCACCCAGAGCTACAGGACCAGGGTGAAGGCTTCCAGCGGCCCTGGAGCCGGGCATGGAAAAGCTGTCTGGACAAGCTCGGCGGGAGCTCCGTGTCAGCCGTGTGATCTCTCCTCCCTGTTGTTTCTCATGTCTCACGTCTCAGGATGCCTAGGCATAATTCTGGGGTTTGGTGAGGATGCTTCCTTTAGTAACTGGGGCTTTTTTAGCCCACAAACCACTTGGAAGTAACGGATGGGGCCTATGTGTTAGTGACCGAAGAAGACAAAGGGTTTGAGGGAGTCTGAAACACATGCCAGCTGACTAGGCCAAATAGCCCCCAAACAACTCCCCGCAGCTCAGCCGGGAGCCACGCCTCAAACAGCTGGCTCAAGAGCACATCAGCAGGCTGCAGGCCGGAGAAGGCGCCAAAGAGGGGCGCTCCTGCCAGCCAGGATGGAGGCTCTGGCAACTTAAGCTTTTTGCCTGCTTTTTCTCCTGGACTTGCTGCAAACTCCAAACAACCAGGGTCTGATTTATGTCCCCTAAACCAGATACTGCCAGGGCCATGCCTCTTACGAGATAAAGATGATCGAAGATAAGGGAGGGCTTGTCCATTTGTCCCAAGATAAGTAGCATCTCGTTGTCTATGAATTCCTTGAATTCCTTCAAGTTACAATTCATCTGTTTCTCTAATTCATTACGGATCTGTGGAGTAGAAAATATTAGGAAAAGTGATTTGTTAAAGAAAACAACTGTCCGCCTCAAAAGAATTAAAGTTACAATACAAACTGTGGCTATTTCCAAAAATGGTAGTTTTTTTCTCTTTCAGGGTAATACATTTAGACACACGCAACATACATGCGTGGGTGGCAGGAATGCAGGTTACTCAGCTTAGAAGTAAACTCAACTGGGTTAAGTTTATTATTTCAAATAAGGAATTTGATTTCCATGAGATCTCTTCTACCAAGTTTAAAGTGCTTTTACTTTTATAACTAAATGTCAAATACATCAAATAATCTAAAATCAGTTCTATCTTTCTTGGAAAGATATCACAATATGATTTTTAAAAAATGTATTCATTAATTAAAAGACAGGGCTGGATGGAGTGGCTCACGCCTGTAATCCCAGCACTTTGGGAGGCCTTGGTGGGAGGACCGCCTGGAGGCCAGGAGTTCAAGACCAGCCTGGTCAACACAGGAAGACCAAGTCTCTTAAAAAAAAAAAAAAAGAAAAAAGAAAAAAAGAGATTATATATGAACTTTTAAAATGTCAATTTTAACCTCTTAGATCCACCCAGTTTAATCTCTTATTATAATTCATTGCATGCTTTGAATAAAAAGCAATGAAAAAAAAAGTGATCCAGGAAAAAACATGAAAAGGTAAAAAGGGAGAGAGAAATTATTCTAGAATTTGATACTTGCAGGTCAGCTGTCATCCTGTGGAAAAACAAGTCTGCTGTCTCCTCCATAAAACCCAAGGTAGGCCGGGTGCGGTGGCTCAAGCCTGTAATCCCAGCACTTTGGGAGGCCAAGACGGGCGGATCATGAGGTCAGGAGATCGAGACCATCCTGGCGAACACAGTGACACCCCGTCTCTACTAAAAAGTACAAAAAACTAGCCAGGCGAGGTGGCGGGCGCCTGTAGTCCCAGCTACTCGGGAGGCTGAGGCAGGAGAATGGCGTGAACCCGGGAGGCGGAGCTTGCAGTGAGCTGAGATCCGGCCACTGCCCTCCAGCCTGGGCGACAGAGCGAGACTCTGTCTCAAAAAAAAAAACCCAAGGTAATAGGGAGCGGAAGAGAGAACAAGGAGGTGTTATTAAAACAGGTTAATGCTTCTCGGTGCAGTCTGTGGATCTCAGGGAATTCTCCCCAAAGGTCATATAGGTGAGGCTCACAAAGGCCAAGAAATTTGCTCAATGTCTCATAGCTGATAAGCAGCAGATCTGGAATCAAACTGGAGTCTGACTCCAAGGCCTGCTGCGATTGTAGAACAAGGCAGGAAAAAAGCCTCCAGGGGCTAACACGGGGACAGGTAAAGACAACCAGGTGTTGGGCCTGCTTTTGCTGCACTTTTGGGAGCAGGACACATGAAGGCTGCGTGACCTCTGACCTGCAATAAAGGGAGGAGTTGTCTTACCTCTTTGGAAGTCACATTTTCTAGATCCTGGCTCATCATGATGCTTCGGAGCTTGGCTTTGATGAGGCGCTCGGTCCTTTCCCCTTCAGTGGGCCTGGAAAAAAACGACGTTTAGGAGAGCAAGGAGTTGTAGAAAGCTTGAGGTCAGAGGTTACAGGAATGCCAGATGCTCCTGGGTCTAAACAGAACGCGGCTTGGCAAGGAGAGCACACTTCGTGGTGTGCACGTTCTCACGCAGTAGGGAGAGGTGCACAGAAAACCCACTGCAGCTCTAGAATCCCCACGGGAGTCAACAGAACGGGGAGCAGGTCAAGGGGGGAAGAGGACAGTGTGGAAACTCACTCCTTGCTCAGACGCTCTTAGGGCAAGATGCCGGGATGCCCAGCGCAATATCCCTAGGGCCCTGGGCCCTTGAGTCTCTGCTCAAACATGTCGGGCATGAGGACCTCACTGTCTCGAGGCAGCCCGGTCCAGCTGCAGCAGCTCCCACTATCCCCTTCTTCCTCGGAATCAAAATCTGGGTATTTCCCTGCTCTGGTTTTAACTCTAGCGGGTACACAGACCAGGATAATCCTTCTTCCCCATAAGGAATCTTCAAATATTCAAAGGCAACTATCCTTCCTCCATGATTTCAAGGCCCTCTTCTAATGTGGCTTCCCACCCTTCAGGTCTCTGCCCTCTGAACACGCTGCGGTTTATCCATAGTACTCCCAAAATGCAGTGTCCTGGAGGAACACCACACTGTGGGAGCAGGGTCCTGACCCTGAGGGGAGGGGCGACCAGCATACTCCCTAACTAGACTTCAGGGAGTTATGGCCCCTCCATGTCAGTGCTGTCATAGGTCACAGGACACAGGTCATGTGGTTCACCACGGCTGCTGCAAAGGCAGGCTGCCCTCAGCTGTGGTGTTTTTGGATCCAAGGAAGCAGAGGACACATTCCTTATTTTCCTCAGAGCAGAGCAGGAGGCTCTGGGAATTAAGTCTCTGGTAATCTGAAGAGAAAAGGCCAGACCACAGAGTACTGCAAGGAGTTGGGAACACAAAGGGCCACACATTCCTTTGAGAGTCTGATGGGAGTTATGGACCCCATCCCCAGAAATGCATTCACCAAATTCATCAATTTTTTTTTTTTTTGCACGGGACAGGGGCCTGTGTCATAGACCCCCTCTTTAAACGCTGGTTCTGAGAAAGCTGGGGCTCTCACTCAGGGGACTCCAGGGGAGGGGTGGCCCAGTGTAGGTTCAGGATCGGGCACAGAGCAGGTAGGGGAGAGGCAGGTGCCTATGCGCTCGGGTGCGCTCACACCAGCGGTGCTGCACTTACTTGTCCACAAACAGCGCGGGGGAGTCAGGCCGTGTGGACTCCAGGTCCTGCATGGCGTTCCACTCGTTGATGCAGCTCTGCTCAGAGCTGATGCAGCTCTCATAGTAGGTGGCCCAGATGAGAGCTACGCCCCCAGGGAAGTAGTTGTGCCTCCGGGCCACTTCACAGGCCTTGTGAAGCACCTGCAGGGCAGACCTGGGGAGAGGAGAAGGCTGGGTCAGGCCTGGGAAGGCACAAGAGATGCGGGGTTTTCTCCTCTGACAAAGGGGTTCAAATATGGGAATGGAAGGGCAATGATTGATTGGTTGATTATTTCTTTTTGAGACAGAGTCTCGCTCTGTCACCCAGGCTAGAGTGCAGTGGCGTGTTCTCAGCTCACTGCAATCTCCGCCTCCCGGGTTCAAGCAATTCTCCTGCCTCAGCCTCCGGGGTAGCTGGGATCACAGGTGCCTACCACCATGCCCAGCTAATTTTTGTATTTTTAGGAGAGATGGGGTCTCACAATGTTGGCCAGGCTGGTCTCGAACTCCCAGCCTCAAGTGATCCGCCCGCCTCGGCCTCCCAAAGCGCTGGGATTACAGGCTTGAGCCTCCGTGCCCGGCTGAGAAGGGGGGTTTGTAAAGGGCTCACTCTTGGAGTCGCACTTACACGTACGGGCGCTGGGGAATGCACACAGCCTGAAACATTCAGCCCGCCAGGGCACAGAGCTAATCCCTGGGACATATTCACTGATTGAATCTAACAGTGGCCAGAACACCCCACATCATTTCCAAAGAGGGGCAGAAACAAACAACAACAAACTGTTTCACAACTCTTCCAATCAGGTGGTTCATGAGCTACTTCACAACCCATTAATTAACTCCAGAGAATTAAGAACTGCTCCTGAAGCTGTGGTAACCCTGAACAGATGTTCCTATGACCCATATTGAACATAAGACCCACAATGAAGCTTAGCAGCTGGAAGAAAAAGTCTTTAATATGCAACAGAGACATCTGCCTGCATTCTAAATAATTACATTTCCACCCATCCCCCCATCAACGTTCTAATAGCTTAGATGCTTACATTTCTTAAGGAAACAAGTTCTAGAAAGTCATTTTAATACAAAAACTAACTGAAAAGGTTTGGGGAGGCAGACTGGGAAACAATATTAAGAATCTATGTTTTATTTAGTCACCCTCTTTTACTACTACTACTACTTTTTTTTTGAGACAGAGTCTGACTCCGTCGCCCAGGCTGGAGTGCAGGGGCGTGATCTCGGCTCATGGCAACCTCCATGTCCTGGGTTCAAGTAATTCTCCTGCCTCAGCCTCCTGAGTAGCTGGGACTACAGGTGTGCACCATCACACCTGGCCATTTTTTATATTTTTAGTAGAGACAGGGTTTTGCCATGTTGGCCAGGCTGGTCTCAAAACTCCTGACCTCAGGTGATCCGCCCACTGTGGCCTTCCAAAGTGCTGGGATTACAGTCATAAGCCACCATGCCCAGCCCATTTTGCTTCTTTTTACAAAAATATAGGCTGAGGCCAGGTGCGGTGGCTCAGCCTGGAATCCCAGCACTTTGGGAGGCAGAGGTGGGAGGACTGTTTGAGGCCAGGAGTTTGAGACAAGCCTGGGCAACATAGTGAGACCCCATCTCTTAAAAAAAAAAATACAAAAGTTAGCTGGGTGTGGTGGTGCATGACTGTAGTCCCAGCTACTTGGGAGGCTGAGGCGGGGAGGATCACCTGAGCCTGGGAGGTCAAGGCTGCAGTGAACCATGATCACACCACTGCACCCCAGCCTGGGAGACAGACAGAGCAAGACCCTGTTTCAAAAAAAAAAACAAGAAACCCAATGCCCCAAACATTGTGAATATACTTAATGCCACTGAAAATTGTGCCTTTAAATATGGTGAAAATGATAAACTTTATGTTACATATATTTTGTGCCCCCTTCAACATGCACATATATAACGAGCTTCTTGGTAGAAGCGGTTTTTCTACTCATGCTGTCGGCTAAGAAAATATTTCTAGGGAGTTAAAAAATCCCTAAAACCACACTTACCACATGGCCTGGACAGACACAGGCTTAAATATGTGCATCCTTCCTGCTGTGCTCACGCTGAACCCACTGAGAATAAAAAACAGAGAGAAAGGTATCTGTGGTGAGAAATCAGCGCCTTGAGTGAAATCACTCTGGGAGTGGGGAGCTGGCCCACCGTGCACACTGGGAACAAGCACATCTCATGTCGCCTGATGAGGGATTTTATGGAACCTGCTTCGGCAGAGACATGGGCAAGGGCAGAAAGAGACACATTCTCAGGTGAGGAGGCTTGTTTTGAACCCAGCAATGCAAGTTCCACCAAAACCTGAAAGCCTGGCAAAGGGTGCCAGGTGAAGAACTCCAAGAGCGTCTCTTCTATGTTCCCATATGGTTCCTGCCTCCCTGCCACCTCCTGCCCCATAGGCCCAGCTGTTCCTTTTTGTAATTGCATGGAAACTATATTCATAGGATTGCACGGAAAATAATATATAAAAATATCTATTAATACATTAATATAAATGTGTTAATCTAAAAATACTAATATAAAATATAAAAAATTAATACAGGCCAGGGGTGGTGGCTCACGCCTGTAATCCTAGCACTTTGGGAGGCTGAGGAGGATGGGTCACCTGAGGCCAAGAGTTCAAGACCAGCCTGGCCAACATGGTGAAGCCCCATCTTTACTAAAACTACAAAAATTAGCCAGGCATGGTGGCAGATGCCTGTAATCCCAGCTACCTGGGAGGCTGAGGCAGAAGAATAGCTTGAACCCAGGAGGTGGAGGTTGCAGTGAGCCAAGATCGCACCACTGCACTCCACCCAGGGTGACAGAGTGAGACTCCATTGAAAAAAAGAGAAAAAAAAAATCATACAAATATATTAAAATAAATTTTAAAAAGGAAAAATATCCCCATAACCCCATCGCTTAAACAACAAATCAAATTTTTATTCTTCTCTTCCCATCCTATGAAGCAACATAACTCTGACCTGCTTAGAATCCCCGTGTCGGGCCACTTTCCTATTCTGTTTCTTCTCGTCACCGTGCCCACGCACCTCCCTGGGAGTGAATGCGTGCGGACGCTGGACAGCCCTCATCCCCTGCCTGCCTGCCCGGGTGGAACTGGTTCATTCCTCCTTTGTGGCTCCCAGGGTGGCACCTGAAACCTTGTTGTGCCTGCCAGTTGTATGTCTTTCCTTGTACCCCCAAAGCTGGTGAGTTCCTGCTGCACCACATTCATTGGTGAACTTTCAGGACGAGCCCTGTGGAGGGCATGTGGTGAGAGTTCACTTAACCCATTGAGGTAGTGGATGGATATCGGTTTACCGCTGTCTTGAACTTCACACTAGCAGCCTATCTCCTGTAATCGCTCCCACTGATACTTCATGAGCTAAACTCCCTGACGGGACGTCCAAAACATACCCTCCCTCGTGGAGCTCACTCAAAGGCAATACGAATTCTCCTGCTGTGACACTCCCGCCACACGTGTCATTCTGTGCTAATGATCATCCAAGGATGCCCGAACCAGCTCGTGTTTCAAAGCCTACATACAGTGAGAGAATCTTTTAAAGACCTCCTTACCCATCTCCATCAAGGTGGATTTTCGTGTCACTCCACAGTCGGAGAACCATCCCAATGGTGCAGCTTTTACTGCGAGAGGGGAGAGAAGACGTGTGGAGTCAGTGTCTACCCACGTACATGCACAGCCTTTCCAGCTTACCACCTGGTCCAGGACGGGCTGTTGGATGTACGTGTGGCAGTGGCCCTTAGGCTGTCTGCATAGGAACTGTTCACTGATGAATTCTAGAAGACACAGGTCTGGGATGGCCCTGTGGACACAACTCCGTAAGTGCTCAGCCGAGGCTCTTGGGTGCAGTGTGCGCTGACCGCATGCCCACTCTGCAGCAGGGAGGCAGCCGCCCAGGGCTGGTGTTCTGCTGGCGGAGGCCACATGTGTACTCGGGGGTACATAGGCAAGCACCAGTGGCCAAGCCCGGCCCGGCCTGTCCTGGGTGGCAAGGAGGGGAGTGTGCTCACACCGTTCCCAGAGCTCACTTTCGAACCTGTGCACCTGCACCTTTAGTGTGGTTGCTGTTTTACAACCTCGCTTAATCTGGTTTTGTTTTGCGCATCCTACCAGTGAAATGAGACCAAATGACTGCAGAGACTGGCGCCACTGAAAAGCAGGGAAAGAAAGGGCTTATCGGAGAGTCCTCAGATTATGATGAAAACTCTCCAGGCATTTAAAAGTTGGCTTGTGAGAAGCCGCTGTAACTGTGCCAAGGGCCAGCTCCGCGGACCTCAGGAATCTCATGCTTCCATCTCTGCTGCTGCCAACACCACGGTCATGTTTTTGTGTGCCCGTGTGGGTGGGGCCTCTGCGGATCACAGACCCAGTTCCCCTCCGGGTAGCAGCCTGCCCCATGCAGGACTCTTCTCAACCCCATGCTTCTATATCTGTGGGGAAGGTTGTTCCAAGCCCTTCTGGCCAATGACACTCAGGCTTTTTTGGGTTGGGGTCTGAGGTCCCTCCCTACCATCCTACCCACTCCGGAGGGACTAACTGTATTTCTCTCACAGTATTGCAAAATAGAATTTATGTTGGGCCTCACAGAGCTCTAGGGACCACATGGCTGTGTCAGCGCCAGGAGGAGGCAAGGAAGGGGTCCCTGTGGAGCCCAAGTCCGATAGGCAGAAGCTAGGTCAGATGGTGCCCTGGGAACATGCAGTCTAGAAGACCCAACCTGAGCACTGATGACCCTTGCCAGGGACTGATAAGGAGGTGGGTACAGCACAGAGAGCTGCAGAGAGAACAGGACACGGGGCGCCAAGGCCAGGCCTAGGCCAGGGGTGGGGCCTCCCAGGACAGGCGGAGGACAAGTGGGCAGGGATGAGACTGCCCATAGGAAATAAGGAGCACATGAAACCATGTGGAAACTAAACCCCTAGACCGGCCTCCCTTGGACACGGATGTGCAAGAGGGTCAGCCCACAGGGGACTTCTGCTCACAACCTTCAACTCGAGCCAGGAGCAAGGAACAGGGACCAGGCAGGACTGCAACAACTGCCCTTATCTCCTGTCGTCCCCTAGCTATTCCTTTTGTGAGTTTCCAGCAGTCCTACAATGATTAACAATAAGATTTTCACAAGGAAGGTGGGCCCACGGGAAGCATATTTTTCTTTCTTTCTTTTTTTGAGCCAGCGTCTTGCTCCATTGCCCAGGCTGGAGTACAGTGGTGTAATCACAGCTCACCGCAGCCTCCACCTCCCGGGCCCAATCAATCCTCCTACCTCAGCCTCCTAACTAGGACCACAGGCATATGCCACCATGCCCAGCTTTCTTTAAAAAAACTTTTTGTAGAGATAAGGTCCCAGTATATTACCCAGGCTGGTTTCAAACTCCTGGGCTCAAGCAGTCCTCTTGTCTCCACCTGGGGAGCATATATGGGAAACAGGAAAGGGACACGTAGCTAAGGAAACTGAATCTTTAGAGGAAGAGTGACCCCAAAGGATAAAGTGGGTGGGAGCAATTGCAGAAGAAGAAAGCAGGCTCCAAGTTCCTAGGGCCTGTATGGCAGGAACAGAGAAGCCAGATGGGTCTGGCGGTCCAGGCAGGAAACCAATCTGTTCCAAGACTCCATCGTGGAGTCCTTCACTGATGGCAAAACACTGATGCGTGGACAGTGGTGTACGCTCATGGCACTCAAAACGTTCCCAATCCGAATTGAAAACATAATCCTGCTCGGGTGTGGTGGCTCATACCTATAATCCTGGCACTTTGGGAGGTGGAGACAAGAGGACTGCTTAAGCCCAGGAGTTTGAGACCAGCCCGTGCAATAGTGATTTTTTAAAAAAATTATATATATTGGCCAGGCGCAGTGGCTTACGCCTGTAATCCCAGCACTTTGGGAGGCCAAAGCGGGCGGATCACAAGGTCAGGAGATCAGGACCATCCTGGCTAACACGGTGAAATCCCGTCTCTACTAAAACTACAAAAAATTAGCCGGGCATGGTGGCGGGTGCCTGTAGTCCCAGCTACTCAGGAGGCTGAGGCAGGAGAATGGCGTGAACCCGGGAGGCGGAGCTTGCAGTGAGCTGAGATCTCGCCACTGTACTCCAGCCTGGGTGACAGCGCGAGACTCTGTCTCAAAAAAAAAAAAAAAAAAAATTATATATATTAAAAAAATCAGCTGGGAATGGTGGCATGGGCCTGTGGTCCCAGTAACGCAGGAGGCTGAGGTAGGAGAAATGATTGAGCCTGGGAGGTCAAGGCTGCAATGAGCCGTGATTTCACCACTCCAGCCTGGGTGACAGAGGGAGATCCTGTCTCCACATAAAAAAAAAAAAAGAAGAAGAAGGAGGAAAGAGAAAGGTAAGGAAAGGGGAAGGGAAGGGAAGGGGAAAGGGAAGGGGAAAGGGAAAGGGAGGGGAAAGGGAAGGGAAAGGGGAGGGAAGAGAGAAAAAGAAAAGAGAAGAGAAAAGAAGAGAAGAGAAAAGAATCCAAGATTGAACCCTAGGGTGGCGTGGCTGCTCTGGTCTCCCCAGGATGCATATGCAGATACAAGACTCTGAGGGAGGCTGGGTGCGGTGGCTCATGACTGTAATCCCAGCACTTTGGGAGGCCGAGGAGGGTATCACTTGAGGTCAGGAGTTCAAGATCATCCTGGCTAACATGGCGAAATCCTGTCTCTACTAAAAATACAAAAATTATCCAGGCATGGTGGCGCATGCCTGTAATCCCAGCTACTCAGGAGGCTGAGGCAGGAGAATCGCTTGAACTCGGGAGGCAGAGGTTGCAGTGAGCCCAGATCGCACCACTGCACTCCAGCCTGGGTGATGGAGTGAGACCCTGTCTTAAAAACAAAAACATAAACAAAAAGCTAAGTGAGAGTGTGCGAGCCTGTGCAGCAGCCGTCATTCCAATGCTGCCTTTTGGACAGCACTTGGACTCTTATGAAGATCCCCTTTGGGGGCAATGCTCGTCTCTTTTCTTTTTCTTTCTTTTTTTTTTTTGGCAGGGGGAATCAAAAAACAAAATCCCAAGGAAGGAATTTAGAAAAAACAAGTATATTGCTCCCTCAGCAGGTCAAACGCTTCTGGTGGGGACCTGGACTTTGTTTTCAAGCCAGGAAGGAAGACAACAGCCTGGTGCCCAGGCAATGTGGGAGCTGCAGGAGAAGGCCCAGTTCCCAGCCCCCGGGATTCCCCGGGCACGGAAGACAGCTGCATCAGGCCCAGCGACAGGAAGGACTGCTTAGTTCTGGTTCCTGCCAGGCCCCTGCTCACCTTGGGTGGCCTCTCGACCGCCCTCTCCAACCTCAGAGACCTGCCCTGGCCTTGGGGTCGGTGCCCACACGTGGGCTGTGGCTCCTGCTCAGAGGGTGCAGAGACTCGAACCTGAGGGAGGAGCATGCAGTGGAGGCCAGAGAACCACAGGGAGAGGGAACCACAGGGAGAGGGAAGTCAGGTGCCGAGGGGAGGCAAAGGGAGGAGAGGGTGGGAGGGAAGAGCACCGTGGGGGCGGTGCGGATGAGCACATGGGCCTGTCTCCTCCAGCCAGGCAGCAGTGGAGTGCACGTGTGTGCATCTAAGGCATGCCCATGACTGCTGGCCTGTGAGCTCTGTGAGACTGCAGGTGTGTCTGCCATGCTCCCTGATGTGGCCCCAGCACCTGGTGGGGCACCCGGCACAGGGAAAGAGCTAACAAATCCATACACGATAAACCTAGAAGTGAATGAATGAGCAAGGTGGTGTACAGGAAGAGAGCTGCAGCCCGCTGGGAAAGAATGCGTGGGATCTATTCATTCAGCAGGTCGACAGGAAAAGCCCTGCCTCCAAGTCCCAGGCCGGCCACTTACTGGGATGGCCCTGGGGTAATCACTGCAGCCTCGTGAGCTTCTGTCATGTGTAAAACCTGAGGTAGGACTACCCACCCCAGGGGGATGAAGGGGCTAAATGAGACGTCCACGGAGGCATTTTGTAGGTGTGCTCTACTTTACAGTCAGGAGGACTGGGCTTCCACACCGCTCCCATGGTTCAGATCAAGACGATGGGCACAGGCCACAAGAGGCCGATTTCCGTTCAGGATCAGAAAGCATTATTGGAACAGGCCACACTTGTGAGGAAAGTCCCTGCCTCAGAAAGATTCTGAAAAGCTGGATAGTCATTGGAAGAACAATTACAACTGCAAGACGGTCAAACACTAAACACCGCTATGCCTCACAACCATACAGATAATGGCCAAACAGATGGGGCTCTGGGCATTTCTGAGAGCATCTGCCTGGTGGCACCCCGTCCTAATGGACCATGCCCTCCAGTCTCCAAGTGGCTCTTTAGAGCTCATATCCTAACACCTCCTATGCTACAGGTTCTTCTAGCCCCAGGTTCCCAACCAGGTCAAGGCCACAGATGCCAGCCCCAACTCCATCTCCTACATGTGTCACAGGAAACTTTCTCATAGTGCTATTTATTATGTACTGCAGGGGTGGGGGGCATGTCATAAAAGAAATGTCCTCCTTTTTTTATTCATTTCCTTCTAAAAAGCATCCAAGTCTCAGTTGCTAGCATGTGACTTACAGAAGCTCTCACGGGAACAAGACAAGACCGTACTGTTACCATGACACTCACAGCCTCCCTGACGGGTTTCTGCTGTTCATTCTGCCTGAAATGCTCTTCAAATGCACCTCGCGGCTCTGCCTCCACCCTAGAGCTCGCCTGACTGCCCACTTGCCCGTTAAGATTCAGCTTAGGCTTCACTCCTGCCAGAAAGGTCCTGCCAGGTGCTCTCAGTAGGCGCCTCCTCCTGTGGTCTCACAAAACCCCAGCACCTTTCAGTCACTCTCTCCCTCCTACCTGGTTGTGACTGTCTTCCAAGCTCACTTAGAAGCCCTCTGAGGCCAAGAACTGTGCTGTTACTTCTTTGTTTACCTGGGCCTAGTCCATTGCCTCATACACAGGAGAATGCAAATAAATCACACGCTTAATGAATGAGTCGATGAATGAATGATGAATAAAGGGAGTCTAATCTAGTTTGAACAAATCCAGGTTTTGCAATGATCTCACAGGCATTCATTTATCTGAGATGTCAGGGGAGTGATCCCACTCTCATTTCACACACATCATGGGGTCAATGCTCTAACTTACTTGGTCTCCAGTTAGTGGGAAATTACAAGCTACTCTTCAAGCCTCTGACAAGGATGTGCCATGAAGATGGAGTTCCCACTCCACTTGGGAACCTGTGGAGTATCACTATGGGGTAAGGTATCTGAGAGGAGACCCACCAATCTCCATACTTCTCCATGGGCCCCTCTGCCTGGGAGGGTCTCCTGCTTCCCTTGGCGGACTCTGGCTTGGCCTTCTGGGTTTGGCGTTGTTGTCACCTCCTTTAGGAAGCATTCCTGGCTAAGGTGCCCCACTCTATAGCAGCTGGCGTGAAACCTCTCTAAGCACAGCATAACTTTCTGTCCTCTCAATCGACTCTGAGCTCCGAGAGCACAGCCTGGAGCTGGCACGGTGCCTGGCACACAGAGCTGAAATGGCACACCCTAGTGTTCCCAGTGTCGACACCCCAGGCTCTCCATCAGGACGCAGCCCTCTCCCACATGGATATGGGACCATGGAAACCTTTTTCTAGCAGCAACTCTTGCCTCCCACACAGAAGGGAACACCTAGCTCATCAGACTCACCTTTCCTTACTGGAAAAGTCCACTCCCAGCAAGATATTCTCCTCGGTGTCCTGGCGCCCGCTGCTGTACACCACTACCATGTACCGGACCCGGTCCGCCCAGGCGCTCTCCAGGCGCACGGCCTGGAACAGGGCAGACATGCTCTCACTGGCCTGCCTTTGGAGGTGGTGCCTCCCTCCCATCTCCAACGCAAGATTAACACTTTCAGTGTTCTACCTTTCCCTCCGGGAGTTAAAAATGAAGAGAAAATCCTTGGCTGGGCCCAGTGGCTCAGGCCTATAATCCCAGCACTTTGGGAGTCAAAGGTAGGCAGATCACTTGAGGTCAGGAGTTCGAGACCAGACTGGCCAACATGGCAAAACCCCATCTCTACTAAAAATACAAAAATTAGCTAGGCGTGATGGTGTGCGCCTGTAATCCCTGCTACTCAGGAGACTGAGGCACGAGAATCTCTTGAACCTGGGAGGTGGAGGTTGCAGTGAGCTAAGATCACACCACCACACTCCAGCCAGGGCGACAGAGTGAGATTCCATCTCAAACACCACCAAAAACAACAATAACAACAACAAAAAAACCACACAAAGAGGAAGTTCTTGACAGCAGGAACCAGGCCTCGTTTCTCTCTGTAGCACCGGGGACGCTGCCTGGCTCAGAGGAGACACCCAAAATGCAAGAAATCAGTGAACACATGAAATCCAAAGAAAGTTCTTAGTTAGCTTATTTAACTGCCGTAGAGACCTGTTTCATCCCTCCTGTGGCTCCTCTGGGGTACTGAGGAGTCAACCTGGCTTTCGCTTTAGTGAACAATTTGAGGAGAATTTGTTGTAATGTAAAAGCTTTTCCCCCTATCATTCATGAATGGTTCCCCACCAAGTTTCACAATTAAAAATTAAAACGTGCTGGCTGGGCACGGTGGTTTACACCTATAACCCCAGGACTTTGGGAGGCGGAGACAGGAGAATTGTTTGAGGCCAGGAGTTCAAGACCAGCCTGGCAAAACAGCAAGACCCCACATCCACAAAATTTTCTAAAAAATTAGTGGTATACACTTGTAGTCCCAGCTACTCAGGAGGTGGAGGTGGGAGGATTGCTTGAACCCAGGAGTTTGAGGCTGTAGTGAGCTAGGATCATGCCACTGCACTCCAGCCTGGGCAACAGAGCAAGACCCTCATCTCACAAAAACTAAAAAAAAAAAAAAAAATTTTTTTAAAATTTGACATTCTCACCGCTTCTTACCAGCTTGATTCTGTCTTCACAACGCAGAAGGTTGATCATCACCTGCAGATGCTGAGGCAGGTCACCTGGTGGAGCAATAAAGAAAGGTTTAAAAGGTCTCCTACCTACTTTCTAGGAAACAAACCTCTGAAAGGCTGATGTTGAGGGCCTGGAAAAAGATTGAGAAGTTAAAATTTGTCTACCTACACCACAGGAGAATCACCACAAAAACTTCAAGTCTCCATTTCTCTTACACCACTCTGAATACTGTGTGATGCGGATGGGTGACATGGAGCTTACTGTCATGTTGTTAAAAGTTGCTCTTATTTCCTGAATACATACAATATAGGTTTCCAAATACAAAATGTGGAAAATACAGGCAAGCCTAGAGAAAACTGTTATTTCATCCAAGGCAATGTTACTCGGCAGGTTGGGGTGCCTAGAAACGACAGCTGTGGCTGGAAGTAAGGCATTTGCTAGGAGTTCATCATTAGAGAAGAAGGACAGAGCATCATGTTTCCTCTTCAAACAACTTCTTCTTCCTTTTTTTTATTTTTTTTTTGAGACAGAGTCTTACACTGTCGCCCAGGCTGGAGTGCCGTGGTGCAATCTTGGCTCATTGCAACCTCCGCCTCCTGGATTCAAGCAATTCTTCTGCCTCAGCCTCCCAAGTAGCTGGGATTACAGGCGCCCATCACCATACCCAGCTAATTTTTGTTTTTATAGTAGAGACAGGGTTTCACCATGTCGGCCAGGCTGGTCTTGAACTCCTGACCTCAAGTGATCTGCACGCCTCAGCCTCCCAAAGTGCTGGGATTATAGGCATGAGCTACCCCACTCCGGGCCCCACTTCAAATTTCTGCATTTTCCACTGGAGGCAGACATTATTTCCATAACCAGGAGGGGAAATATTTAAGTGACTCTACAGACAGCAGCTGTATGCTGGTTGCCTGGAGAAATAATTTGAATAGACAACCACCTGTCATTTTCTCTTTTCTTGCTAAAAATTATGTACTCTTTTTTCTTCACTATGTAAAACAAGCAGTAATCCAGGGGCGGCTTCTGAACTTCTCTGAGTGCCCCAGGGTTCAGGAGGTGTCCCTGGAGTGCAGTGAGGAAAGTCTCTTACTGGCCATGAGTCTCGCGCGAAGCAGGAGACCCTGTCAGAAGAAGCGCACACTTTCACGGAGGGGAAAATTGTAAGGGAGGTGCATAATTAATTAAAGTAGCAGATGTGACTCCAAGGTTGCTTTTTTCTCTAGCTTATACATTTTTCTTTATATCTGAAAGGATTTCTTTCTGAAGAAAGGTTCATCTGTAAAGATGCTAATATCAGCCTGGTGTGGTGGCTCACACCTGTAATCCCAGTGCTTTGGGAGGCCAAGGCTGGACTTGAGGCCAGGCATTCAAGACCAGCCTGGGCAACATGGCAAGACCCCATCTTTACAGAAAAGTAAAAAATTAGCTGGGCTTTCTGGTTCGTTCACATCTGTAGTTAGTCCCAGCTACCTGGGAGGCCAAGGCAGGAAGATCGCTGGAGCACAGGAGTGTGAGACCACCCTGGGCAACATGATGAGACCCTGTCTCTACAAACGAAAAAAAAAAAATTACCCTATACCTCACAATTGTAACCCGAAAAGGATCAATAATGCTTACACACTCAAATGCTCCAAAAGAAAACAGTGTGTGTGTTTCTTTTGCAAAAGCATCTTTTTCATTTTAAGGGAGAATGACAGATGATGTCCAAATTGCACTTCCTGCCTCAGAGAGGAATTGGGTCATTAGAAATTTGTGCCTCTAGTCAGGAGGGTAGATCTCATGTTAAGCATTCTTTTTCTTTTTTTTTTTTTTTTCAATAGAGATACGGTTTTGCCATGTTGCCCAGGCTGGTCTCGAACTCCTGGGTTCAAATGATCCTCCCACTTCAGCCTCCCAAAGTGCTGGGATTATAGGCATGAGCCACCAAACTCGGCCCAATTAAGCATTCTTTCCACAATAAATAAAATGTAAAAAAGAAAAGAACCATGCCCCTCTTATCTGTCCTCTCCAGTTATACAATTCCACAGTGTGTAACACCCTATGTTGGCCCTGCTTCCTATGATGAGTGATTTGGAGATAAGGGTTCATATTAAAAAAAGCCATAGAGCTCCCCAACCCCTTCCTCCACCCATCATGTCACCAACGCAACACAGCGACCATGAGGGGTTCTTCACCTGCCTGCCCGCCCCCACATCTACCCGAGTCACAGAACTGCACTGGGGAAAGCAAAAACAAACCCCTGTCTGATAAATGCCTAAATGAAAGGGACATTTTCCACACAGATAAACTTCTTTCAGTGGGATTGTTTGCTGAGATATGGAATTGCTGACAGACAGAAATCCAAACCCCAGTCTGACATCCACACACAAAAAAATCAGAGAACACAAGCCCTAAAAAGGGTCTCAAATTGACCAGACTAGCTGAAACAAACTGAACTACTTTTCCACGGACAGAATTAACCCTCAATTGTACTCAGCTCTGCACGGTGGTTACTGGGGGGACTCTGGTACATTCATGAGACTTGATGGTAATGGTAATTCTAGGGAAAAAAAGGAACTAATGTAAGTCTAGTCTGTGCCTGTCCCAAGGTCACTTACAGACCAACTGTGGACAGCTGGTGGCCCCTCTGCCTTCTGACCTCATCGCCCACTCCAGACCTCAGGGCATAAGAGTCAGCCAGCCGGTGGCTTGCATCCTACCCTTCTAGTCTTCGGATTATAGGAAGGAGGTATATGACACTTAGTGAGCAGAGCTTGAGCATTTGCTTTGTTGTATGTGTTACAGTTAAAACATGAACAATAGCTACATTTCTAAGAGGGCAGAATAATTAGCAAATTCAAGAATGAAGAATCTGGCTGAGTATGGAGCCTCAAACCTATAATCCCAATGCTCTGAGAGGCTGAGGTGGGGGGATGGCTTGAGGCAAGGAGTTGGAGACCAGCCTGAGCAACATAGTAAGACCTCATCCACACACACACACACACACACACACACACACACACACACACACACAAAACTAGCTGGGTGTGGTGATGCGCGCATCTATGGTCCCAGCTACTCAGGAAGCTGAGGCTGGAAGATCACTTGAGCCCAGGAGGTCGAGGCTGCAGTGAGCTATGGTCAGGCCACTACACACCAGCCTGGGCAAGGTAATGAGATCCGTCTCTAAAGAAACTTTTCATATAATTAAATAAAAAAAAAAGAATGAAGGGTCTGCTTATAGCTGTATCGTACTAGGAGTCATCGTAATAACAATGATAGTTACCCATATATATACAGCACCTACTAAAGGCAGGTATGTTACACGCATAACTCTATATTTCCATATTGTCTGAGGTACCAGTATATGATGCCCATTGTAAAGACTAGGAAACTGAGGCTTAGAAGTCGACCTATGACAGCTTAGTAAGTTGGAGAACTAGGATTGGAATACAGGTCTGCCTGGTTTCAAAACAAATACTATTCCCACAAACCACACTGCCTATTATACAGGACAGTTATTTTCTTTGCTTAAAACAGACCTAAATATTATCAACATCAGTATGTGAAAATACGGACTGAGCCTTGGTGTTTGCTATAAATTGTATGGTGCAGAATTCTAACCTGAGCACTCAGATCTAAAATGAAGCTGAATGACTTGAGGTTAAATGAACACAACGATCACAGGTAACAAGAAAACTGGCCACAGTGATGGGTTGGTTTCACCTGCTGCTGCTCTGAAAGGTAAAGGCCTTCTCAGCTCACAGACATGCAATCATGCACTGCCTCCCCAAGAAATGCCGATATGCTGGCCATCTATGACAAAGATTCACCTACATGCAAGCATTTTTTTCTTTCTTTCTTTTTGAGATAGGGTCTTTTTTTTTTTTTTGTCACCCAGGCTGGAGTGCAGTGGCGCAATCATGGCTCACTGAGCAATACAGTGAGCAACACAGTGAGACCTCATCTACACACACACCCACAAAAAACTAGCTGGGTGTGGTGACGCGTCAGCCTCGACCTCCTGGGCTCAAGCAATCCTCCCACCTCAGCTCCCCACCTTGCTGGGATTATAGGCACGCGCCACCATGCCCAGCTAATTTTTGTATTTTTTGCAGAGATAGGGTTTCACTGTGTTGTTCAGGCTGGTCTGAACTCCTTGGCTCAAGTGAGATCTGCTCACCTTGGCCTCCTAAAGTGCTGGAATTACAGGCGAGAGCCACTGTGTCTGGCCATAAGTGTTTTTTGTTGTTATTGTTTTTAAGAAACAGAGTCTCTCTCTGTCACCCAGGCTGGAGGGCAGTGGCGTGATCCTAGCTCATTGCAGCCTCAAACTCCTGGGCTCAAGTGATCCTCCCACCTCAGCCTCCCAAAGCACTGGGATTACAGGTGTGAGACACCATGCAGGGCCATGCAAGCGTTTCTTTTTTTTTTTTTTTTTTGAGACGGAGTCTCGCTCTGTCACCCAGGCTGGAGCGCAGTGGCGCAATCTCGGCTCACTGCAAGGTCCACCTCCCAGGTCCACGCCATTCTCCTGCCTCAGCCTCCTGAGTAGCTGGGACTACAGGCGCCCGCCACCACACCCGGCTAATTTTTTTGTATTTTTATTAGAGACAGGGTTTCACCGTGTTAGCCAGGATGGTCTTGATCTCCTGACCTCGTGATCCGCCTGCCTCGGCCTCCCAAAGTGCTGGGATTACAGGCATGAGCCACCGTGCCCGGCCTGCATTTCTTGAATTCCTCTTTCTAACTGCCTTCAGTTCTGAGTCAAGTCTCCTAAGAAAACCAGTCTTATTACTTAGTAAGCATTTCTTATTTAAACTCAGTTTGATCCTCACTCTATTACTTCTGTCCACTTCCTAAAAACAAACTATTACAGAATCAAGACTTCCTACTATAGTGTCTATCTCAGAGTTGGAGCCAAAGGCCCTTCAAGAAATTCTCCAAATGAGTGTTTTTCAAATGCTTGGAGAAATCCATCCCAAGATTAGGTATACAGCACTACAGACGGTTATTTTCAAGTGGACGACATCTGGTTATAATTCATTTTGGTGCTTTTTTGTTAAAAAGTCACTTACAGCCTGCAGTTAACTGATAAACTACAGAGAGGAAATCTTTGCATCCCAGCAGGATGCAGATGACCTTACTCCTGACGCAGACAGACATGACATAAAAGGTTGGAAAATGTGCGTGGCGTGCTCAAGAAAGAGCATCTGAGCCTCTGCCTGCACTGGTCATTGCAAACCTGTGTTCTCCACTATTTCTAAGGCCTGCAAACTCAGCAATATCACCAACAATGGAAGTTTCCTCTGCTGTCCAGAAAAGCAGCTCCAATGTAAGAGTATCAACTTAGAGCCCTCACCTGCATGCTTGTGGGGGTGCTGAAGACTCCGCTGGCCTTGAGGGCTGCTTCCCTGTTGTAAGAAGAGGGCTGCGCCTTTCACCATGAAAAAGCTCTCGCTTAAGCTGGGAAGGATAAGACCAAAGCACAGTTAGACTGGAATTCAGACAGGAAAATGGACAAAGAATTACTGCAGGGGAAAAAGCTTTAGCGTGGACAAATGGCATGTAAAATGCAAATAGGATGAAACTGCTTTTATAATAATTCCACGTAGTACTCTTCTCAAACCTTGCTTTTGCTAAAAGCTTAGTGCTGGAGAATTTTCGTGACAAAACAATGCTTCTGTGACACCACTCAAAGTTCTCCGTAGGCTCCAGGGCCCCTTTCTGCAGAATACCGGACAGGGATCTCACTGTAATATAACATTTTCTTCTTTCTTTTTTCTTCTTCTTCTTTTTTTTTTTTTTTGAGACACAGTTCCACTCTGTCATCCAGGCTGGAGTGCAGTGGTGTGATCTCAACTCACTGCAACCTCTGCCTCCTGGGTTCAAGCGATTCTCATGTCTCAGCCTCCCTAGCAGCTGAGATTACAGGTATGTGCCACCATGCCCAGTCAATTCTTGTATTATTAGTAGAGACGTGGTTTCACCATGTTGGCCGGGCTGGTCTCAAACTCCTGACCTCAAGCGATCTGCCTGCTTCGCCCTCCCGGAGTGCTGGGATTACAGGCGTGACCACGCCCGGCCGTAACATTTTCTAAGAATAGAGAACAACTCCCTGATTAGGAGAGGGCGGTCTACTTTGTGAATTCTCATGCTCTTGCTGTTGATCTCTGCTTCTAACTCTCTGGCTTTTAACAACTCCATTGTTTCTTGGTGACTTCCCTTTATGAAATACAAGATGAAATTACACTTTCACTAGCTGTTTGCATTTTAAGAAAAGTAGGGACAGGCGGGGTGGCTCAAGCCTGTAATCCCAGCACTTTGGGACGCCGAGGCAGGTGGATCACTCGAGGTCAGGTGTTCGAGACCAGTCTGGCCAACATGGTAAAACCCAGTCTCTACTAAAAATGCAAGAATGAGCCAGGCGTGGTGGCGCATGCCTGTAATCCCAGCTACTCAGAAGGCTGAGGCACAAGAATTGCTTGCTTGAGTCCCAGGGGTGGAGGTCGTTGTGAGCCAAGATCGCACCACTGCACTCCAGCCTGGGCGACAGAGTGAGACTACGTTTAAAAAAAAAAAAAAAAGAAAGAAAGAAAGAAAAGAAAAGAAAAGAAAAGAAAAGAAAAGAAAAGAAAAGAAAAGAAAAGAAAAGAAAAGGAGGGTGGCTACTGACTTGTGATTTAACTTAGTCAAGATTGCCCTGTCCACTATGCTTGTGGAAAACCTCAAGTTGGCCCAATGAATTTCTCAGCAGAATGAATCTTTGGTCTTTGTTATTTTAGCTAGCAATAACACATATCTAACCTATAACTTTAAAAATTACAATTAAAAAATTTTTATTTGGGAGGCTGAGGTGGGAGGATCATTCGAGCCCAGGAGTTCAACACCAGCCTGGGCAACGTTGTGAGACCCTGTCGTACATCAAAAGTTTTTATTTTTAATTTCACTTTGATGACTTGGCTGCCAAGTCTGGCTTTTGCAAAAAATAAGACATAAAAAAAGAATGCCTCAGCTATGAATTACTATCAATTGTTCAAAAATACCATCAACTCTCAAAATTATGCATAAAATACACCAAAATTATTAACATCATCTTTGCAGGAGGTGGGGGAGGAGGAGGAATAGATTATCTTCTATTTACTATTTTCCAAATGTTCTATATTAAACATATTAACCTTTAAAAACACCTATTTTTGTTTGATTCTCAAAATAATATAAAACACATACTATATAATTTAAAAAGAACATTCTAATCTTAATAATTTTGTAAAAGGAGGTCACAGTTCAAATTGTAGGCGACTATAAAAATTTCTCTCTTGAGCAACCAATGAACATATACATGATTTGAAGGAAAAATCCCTACGAAAAAGCAGTCTTCTAATTAAAGAGAACCTGGAAATTAAGTAAATCAATTCCTGACAGAAAGACGAAGGTGTTTTCTGTAATATAAGAAAGCAAGATCACCTTTGCCCCAGACATCTAATGTTGGTAGTTAAACGTTCAAATTCTGGAATAAAAACTCAGCAAAGTCTGGAGTATGACTCCGGGTGCCAAGAAAATGCCACATGAACTAGCATTTCCAATCAGCAGCTCCCGAAATCAGGAAAACTGTTATGTCCTATGATATGAAGTCCACAATAAAATCTGTTAGTTTTTCTGGCTAAATGCTCACGCTAAAAATAGTGACTGCTCAAATATTAAATAAGAAGACTTAGTTCTTTCTGTCTTCTTGTTCGGTCCCTTGAATTCCAGGCAATTGGCTTTCGGTATCTTGTGACACCAACACTTGACATCTGACAGCATTTCGTCCGCTACTGCAGATGCACTGCCGAGTCATCCTTTCCACCCTCTCACAGTCGTATATTTGTGCTGCAAGGTTCAAGTGTTGACGAGCCCAGGATTATAAATAATGAAAGAAACGAGAAGTAGCCTTTCTTTGCTGTCTTACCCTCACTCATAGGAAGCAAAAAGCTCTTTAGCATCCATCTGGCTGATCTCATTTCACAGGTTGCAGAATCACCTAACCCTTTCCACCCACAAAGCTTGTCACTCTCTCCTTCCTTAGAATCTCACAGCTCAGTATGTTTTCAGAACTGTTCTTAGACACAGATCACTTACTATTTATTCTCATCAAAATCTGAAAGAGCTATGCGAGAGGTTCCAAACTCATGAAACCTAAAACAACCAGCAGTTCATCGAAGCAGCTGGGAAAATCTTTTCGAGACAACATCAACTGCTTTTGTTCATCAGATTAAAAAAAAACAAAATTCATACTGACCAGAAACCCAAGCACGCTGGAAACAGCCAACCATTAACGATGACCTTTGCCTTGGAAACCACGGGCAAAAGTTCCCCTTGGTTTCCCTTACATTTCCTTTGGAAAAAAAAGGAACAATGCAACAGACTAGGCTGGTTTCACTCTGTGATCACTTACAAGGCCAGCTGTTCCTCCTCTGTGTTCCTACACTGATAAGAATCAGGGCCTCCTGCTCTACGCATGAAGTCGGGACAGCACTGACTGGGGCCCTGGAACACTCTGCCTCTGTTCCCCCACGACAACAAGTAACGGGCGTTTACTGTAAAAAGCAAGACTGGAAGCTGCAGGGAAGCCCAAGCAGCAGCGCATTATCCTGAGGCTGTGAGATCACCCTGCGTCCTGCAAATACAGTAAGGGGATCCAGCCAGAGGAAACCGCGCGACGTGACTCTTGGGGCGGGGGGTGGGGTGGGAGGCCGCAGAGCGTGGTCAGTCACAGGATTTAGGAAAACAAGATGCAGAAAGTCTCTGTGACCCAGCTTCCCGGCTTCTCTTCTGAGCTCACTCTGGGCCCAGAGCCTCACGCGCCCTCTGCGTGGCTGATCTGAATACTATATCTGATGGCCACAGCTTCTGACGCCGAGAGGCACAGGCTCCCGATTCATCAGACTCTCAAAGTGCCCCACTGGGGAAGTCCATGAAGAAATCCACATTGGTGATGGCACGCTCAACTTTACCAGGTGCCCGGGGCCAGGAAGCCCAAACCCACAAGTCATCCATCCCAGCCACGCAGAAATCACCCTTCTCACAAAAGATCTGAGTGTCCTAAAAGGAGTGACCAAAGTTACAAAAGGTCAGACGCAGACAGACAAAACGGAAACGTCCTCCTCCACCACTGTATGAGGGATATAAAAAAGCCACTGCCCTCTCTACCCGCCAACCAGAACGCTTTTATCTCCACCACACAGATCTGTTCTCGGACACTGATTACTGCCATTCGGGCAGCTTCATAAGATTAAAGTTTCTCCAAAGCATTGAAGACAGACAAAAACCTCAATCAATGCTCCTCAAAAAACCCCAGGCCCCCAGAATATAAACAGCCAGTGTCATCCAGAAACTAAGCCATGGCAGGAAAACAGAAATCAGGGTGGTCATACGTACTAATTTGAGCTGGAAACCTCTGGACAGCAGAAGTAGTGGGTTGGCTGAAGGAAGATGCAGAAGTCAGTAAAATAAAAGAGGTTTGTGGCTGCAGTGCTCACATCTCTAACGCCCCCTACAACTGCCCTCGGAGCTCCGGCCATCTGCTCGCTACGGAGATCAGGAAAAGCGGGGAGGCTGCCGAGTGCTTCCACAAGGGCTGGGGAGCCGACTCCTCCTCGGAGTCCTAGCGAAGAGCAAATGGCTCTTGTGGAACTCTGGTCTTCCTCTGATATTTTGGCTGAAAAAGGCCCTTGTCCCAGCACATCCTGATGAAAGAGGGCCATTCAGCAAAACAGCTGAGGTTCCTCTAATCACTGTACTCCTACGGGCTTTTCTGTAGGCCGGAGAAACCAGCGCCAGGGTGTGCATTCGACATTGTGAGGGCAAACAGCTGGCCCCCAAGGAACCAACCCCAAGCAACAAGACCCCCTTCTGATTCAAATCAACATTCTGAAGGATGACTCTTTCTTTCAAATCAGCATCCATTCACCCAACGGTGACGGTGACGTGGGCAGCTGCCGCAGTCAGTTATTCTGTGTACCCAAAGCACTGTAACATCCTGAAAATTCTTCAGTCATGCTAACAGCTACCTGAGGGGACACGCCAGGTAGAGGGGACCACATGTACACCTATGAGGAGCGCTGGGATACGCACGTAGCCCAGGGCAGGTCAGGCTGCAAAGGTCCTAAAGGGTGGAGGCGTGATCCCAAACCCTCCAGGCACAAGTCAGCCAAGAGCTGTGTTTTTAGCGCTTCTTTTAGCAAGAGAAATAAATTCAGGATGTGAATAACCATGATGCAGGAGGGAATGGAATAAGTACCCTAAGAAAGGGGCTTGGCTAGGGTTTACAAGAGGGATAAGGGAGCATTTAACTGGTGACTTCCGGAACAATTCCTGAAGGAAGCGGCACTGAGTATGGGCTTCTCTTCCCTCAGCTCACAAGTGACCAAGCGATCCTCCCTGTGGACTAAGTGAAACACACATTACCATGATTCTCCTTTTGCAGGTAAGGAAACCCTAGCTTGCCTAGAGCACATATCTCTACAAGATGGGGCTGGACTCACATCTATCTGCCCCACACCCACCTGCTTAACCCCTGGAATGCTGTTCTCATCCAGGGTGAAAATCAGGGCCATTATGCCGCGGTCACCTCTGCTCACGCCTGCCCAGGTGCCTAACGGCAAAGCCACTAAAGCACTGAGAGAAGTCAGAATGTGGATCACATCCTCCGTCCTTCTTCCTAGCATGTGAATGCATCATGTGTGGGAAAGAGAGAGAAGGAACCATTCAAGCAAACAGAACTCCAGGAAGACGAGACTATGCTGGGGTTCTTCCACCTCCCCAAGTAGAAATCAGAAGGGCAGGGACCCACAGCCTTATCCTACCCACCACCGCCATCACAGTTGGGGGACAGGACACATCCTTTGGCCCTTCTGCACTGCACAGAGGCTCGGGAGTTCTGTAAACCGCACAGCCACGCTGACCAAGAAGTTGCTTTGAAGGTAGGTTTCTCATCAACAGGACTATTGTTTACCGAGCATCTCCCACGTGGCCAAGGCTGTAGGAGGTACTTAGCTATGCCACGTCATCGAACTCTGGCAGTTCTGCAGGGTAAGGTATTTTCTCCATTCTCCATATGACAAATGAAGGAAGCCCGTCAATGATTCCAAAACAGAATCTCCAGGGATAGCATGGACAACGCCCATGGTGACTGCTGCACTTCAAGGTTTAAAAAAAGTAAAAACTGGGGGGAGGGGGGTGGTGCATGCCTGTAATCCCAGAACTTTGGGAGGCTGAGATGGGCAGATCATTTGAGGTCAGGAGTTTGAGACCAGCATGGTCAACATGGCGAAACCCTGTCTCTACTAAAAATACAAAAATTAGCCAGGTGTGGTGGTGCATGCCTGTAATCCCAGCTAGTCAGGAGGCTGAGGCAGAGAATCACTTGCACCCGGGAGGTGGAAGTTGCAGTGAGTCGAGATCACACCACTGCACTCCAGCCTGGGTGATAAAGCGAGACACTGTCTTGGGCGGGGGGGGAACAAAAGTAAAAACAGTGGTCTGGGAATTCATATTTCTGGGTTCCAATTTACATTCTACCATATATAATCTGATTAACCCCTGGAATTCCCTTACAGGGTTCTGTTCATTCATCCAAACAGCCAAACATTTGCAGAGTGTGGAGCACTGCCAAGCCAGCCCAAGCACTGATAAGGGCAAAGATAGCCATCCTCTTTAAGGAATGGGTATATGTGCTGGTGATCTGGGTGTCTGCCCTGCTGTATAGAAACAACATTTCTTGAAGAACAAAAATAGTGGGTATAGAAACATCAGAGTATAGAATATCACCCAAATGCCCCTGAATTCCAACTCTGGTCATTCACTGAAGCAACCTATCAAACTTCTAAAACACATTCATGCCCAGGTCCAGCCTCAGCAGAGTCTAATTCGGAAGGGCTGTGATGAGTCCTGGGCATCCAGTGTTTAAAAGTTCCAGGGGGCTGGGCATGGTGGCTCACAGCACTTTGGGAGGTCGAAATGGGAGAATCAGTTGAGCCCTGGAGTTCAAGATTAACCTGGGCAACATAACAAGATCCCGTCTCTACAAAAAATAAAAATAAAATTAGCTAGGTGTGGTGGTGTGTGCCTGTAGTCCCAGCTGCTCAGGAGGCTGAGGTGAGAGAATCACTTAAGCCTGGTGAGGTCAAGGCTACAGCGAGCTGTGACCACGCCACTGCACTCCAGCATGGGAGACAAACCTTGTCTCCAAAAAGTTCCAGGGGGTGCTTCTGATGCACAGCCAAGCTTTAAAAACCTCAGAATCAAATAACATCATGGCCGGGCATGGTGGCTCATGCCTGTAATCCTGGCACTTTGGGAGGCCAAGGTGAGTGGATCACTTGAGGTCAGTTCAAGACCAGCCTGGAAAACATGGTGAAACCCGGTCTCTACTCAAAATACAAAAATTAGCCAGGCGTGGTGGCGTGTGCCTGTAGTCCCAGCTTCTTGGGAAGCTGAGGCATGAGAATCACTTGTACCCCGGAGGTCGAGGCTGCACTGAGCGCAGATTGTGATCCTGGAGTTCCCACTGCACTCCAGCCTGGGTGACAGAGTGAGACTGTCTCAAAAACAAACACACACACACACACAAACAAATAACATCAGAAGACACAGAGAAAACAGCCTTCTCCACGGGTTTCATAAAGATGCCTCTCACATAGGCACACGGCAATGTTTTCTGCTGGTAAAAGGTAACACCAACAAAAAGGCATGGTGCTCTCAGAAGGTGGGTGACGTGATTAGGTGCAAGAAAGGGAGGTCATGCTAGGGCCAGAAACAAAATAATACTCTCTTTGGAAGCAGTAAAACAGACGCTAGTCTTCTACTACACTTTCAGAGACCTGAATGTTCTTGCCCTCTAAGGGAGACGCTGCATCATGACAATACGAAATGATGACAGTGATAGCAAAAACAGATCAGACCTGTGTTTTGTGAAACACACATGGGGTCTCGCTATGTTGCCCAGGCTAGTCTCCAACTCCTGAGGTCAAGCGATTGTTCCGCCTTGGCCTCTCAAAGTGCTGGAGTGACAGCCATGAGCCAGCGAGCCCAGCCTCAGATCAGACCTTTGACAAACTCTGCTGTGGACAAACCATTCTGGTGAACGTCAACTCATGTGATCTTCACAAAACCGTGTGGAAGACCAGACAGGCATTATTACACTAATTTATGCCTAAGGAAACGGGAGTTACTTAAATAGTACTAATTTAGGATTTCTGATGCTGTATCTCAAAAAAAAGTAGAGAATATGAGCCTGAAGAACAGGCCCTGTAAAGGGTCCCAGATTGATGGGACAGGCTGAGACAAATGGAATCGCTTTTCCCTGGATAGAACTAACCCTCAACGGTAACCCACTCTGCATGATGATTACTGAGGGGACTGTCAATTGTCCATCCAACTTGATGGTAATTCTAGCAGAAAAAGGAACTAATGTAATGTTGTCAGCACAGAAAGATGGGTGCCAATGAGTATTCCAAAAACGAGGCTCTGTTAATTCCATTTTGATCAACAAGTATTTGCTGAGTGTCTATTGTGTCCGGTCAGTGCTAAGGCCTGGGAATTTAGAAGTGAAACAGACCCGGTTTCCACCCACTCCACACCCAGTCTGGAGTGACACTGGAGGGCCAGACAGGCACAGGACAGTAACTTCGATATAAGGCAGCAAGTTCCATGGTGGAAGGATGCACTGCGGGCTGCAGATGCACATACACACAGGGGTTCAGGGAGGCCTCCCTGGAAGAAATGAAGCCCATGAGGCCCTGAAGGATCAGTAAACAGAGGGGCGGAAGGGACAGGAGAGTAAGATGATTATGCCACATGTACCTTATTGTGAACCCAGGAGGATTTGGCCTCTGTCATAAAAGGCCCCTCTATGGGTTCATAAACCTCAATTTATAAATTCTGCTTTGTACATCAGTTCCTTATAAGTTTGATTAGCGTAAATTGGTTTCTCAGAACTTGATCATCACTGAGTGAACTCACAAATTCAAGTTTCAGAATGTGCAAACCTAGGAAACAAACCTCGTACTTGTGGTTGAGCTGTCGCACTGTCAACATCACAAATTCTCAGCACCTGAATGCCTGGTACACTAATACAATCAATACATATTGTTTTAAATAAGTAAATAATAGCTTTGTAGTTTACAGACAGTTTGTCCCTATATTTTTCCACTTAATTTTTACAATCCCATTCCTCTGATGAAACCACCCCAGCCTGGGCAACATGACAAAACCCTGTCTCTACAAAAAATACAAAAATTAGCTGGGTGTGGTGGCGTGCACCTACAGTCCCAGGTATTTGGGAGGCTGAGGTGGGAAAATCATTCGAGCCCGGGAGGCAGAGGTTGCAGTGAGCCAAGATCGCACTGCTGCACTCCAGCCTGGGTGACAGAGGGAGACCCTGTTCCTCCCCCCAAAAAAAAAGAAAAAGAAAAGAAAAGTGAAACAACCAAGACTGGGAGAAGATAAACGACCTGTCTGTCATCATTTGGCTAACAAGAGGAAGAGTGGGGCTGAGAAAGTTCGGTGCTCTTCCCGGAGAATCCATAGGTCAGAGAGCACGACCATCTGACCTGCAGCAATAGCGGCAACGTGGAAAGCTGATCAGCTGACCTCAAAACCACTCTCAGTGAGGCTCTGGATGGATTCAGAACCCCAGGCCTAGCAAAGTGAAGTTGATAAAGATGTAAAGGAGATCGAAAATTCACCATTTGAAGAGAGATTAGCTAAAGACTGCAGGTGGGATGGAAAATTCTTTCCATGGTTCTCCCACAGGTTCTTCCCTCATTTGGA